AAACATCTGGAGAATACATTTCTATTTCCAAAGCACTAATTATTTTTTTAAAATATTAATTAAAAAATACAGTTAATCGACAGATAAGTGGCACTGGCATAGGCGTCTTGAGTCTTCTGCCACATCATTAAGTACTCATACAGGGCATAGTTATAGTACTATAATTATTATATCGATATTTGATTGTATTAATGAATAAATATTAATACAATAATTTAATTTTCACAAAGTGAGAAGCATAGAGGATTTTGGATTGTAATTATTGCATACAAGGGGAATTTGATGGTTTAGTAGAGCCGCAAAGCTCGATCCCGTAAGTCCAAATAAGACTTATTATAGTAATATATATGAGTCTTTTGTAAATAGTTGGAAGTTTAGAGCATTTGACCTAGTAAGTGCTGTAGTAGTTGTTTCAGTCTGGTGTGAGGATTCCAAATGGGTCGTTAGTCCAGGTGGAGTCCTTCTAGGTATCGGATTTGTTCAACAGGGATAAGTGGGATATTATTAAAGGGTAATGTAGGACAGGAAGTCATAGGTTTACGACAAAGAGTAAAGATAATTTGATGGGATTTATTGGAATTTATTTGTTTTGACACCATTCTTCAAGACTTGTGATGTGTGATTGAAGAGCTTGGGATGAAATTGATGGATCGTTATTAACTGATAGGATACACATATCATCGGCATAGGTGGTGATGACAGTGTTGGGATGTGAATGTATAAACTGTGTAAAGGATGCGACCTAGGATACTATTTTAAAGAACACCAGCAAACTGAGATAAATAAGCATTGTTATGATTTAAAAAGTGAAAAACTAAATTCTTTACAATGTTTTTGTAGAATGGGCAGGCAGACAGAAGTGCCCCGATAATTATTTTCTAACTACTCATGTACAGTGAAAAGTTGAGAAGATCTTGCTTCTAATTATAATTTATTTGAATGAAAGTCATCGGAAGCTATTCTTCTGACTAAGGATTCTTTTAATAAAATTTATGATGATTTAAATAAAATTGAGAAATATATGGTTTTAAATAATTAATATATGCAACATTAAAAAATAATTTATTTCATCATTTAGCTTTTTAATAAACAATTTTACACCATTTTTGATTCACAGATAATCCTCTTGCCTCATTAGTATTTGCTCTTAAATGAAATACTTATTAATGAACCGTTATTATTATGTAGAACAAGGGGAAAAAACTTTTTGATGTAATTAAATGGTAACTTGTGCATCATGTATCATAAACTGGATTTCATAAGAAAGTACAATAAACCAAACAATAATAGAACAACATTAAATGAAAAAAATCAATATAAATGACTTATTGACACTGAATCTTTACAATTAAAAACTTACTTAGCAGTTAAAATAACTTACTTTACAACTATGTAATATATTTAAAAATTAAGCATTAGTTCATTATTTGATTAAAATATAATGAAATCTTAACTACCAAATTTTTAGTAGGATTTTTAAAAATAAATTGTGATTACATCAGCCTGTGATTAAATCTAAAAAGGTGTATTTCATTTTTTTTTTCATTTTCATTTTACCTGATTAATATTATTAGTCAGCAACCTGATTTATTTCTAAGCAAAGATGTTATATCTAATTCACAAATAAAAAGCTTACTAAATAAATAAGATACATCATAAAAAACTGTTAAAAATCTAAATAAATTGGTAGTTTTTCAGTTATCTGTAATGTAGGTTATAAGATACACATTTTAAGCTTAGGTTAATACTGAAGAAATGTTTTTTAGCACAAATGGATTTGGATATCAACTTAGGGATCTTCAAATTTTAACAATTGACACAATAGCAGCACAAAAATTAAACTTGCCACCTTAGAAATTATTAACTTTAAAAAAAAAAAATGCTAAGAATTTATAATTCATAAAAGTCTAAATTAGTCTGACACTTATTCCAAAGGAACATTTTCTATTTCAATTTTGTGATACATTGCAAGAATGGTCATAAAATGATGAGTAATTATATAGTTAGCTTACAGGACTGCCATAACTCAAAAATTCAACTTTTCTATCATCTTTACATTCTTGTTGAATATGTTTACACTTAAATTGTTTAGCAGGAAATTGCTAATTTTCGGATTCTTCTATGGTAAATCTGTGCACATATTTACATATTAGCAACGTGTACCACTGCAACCCATGAAGAATCTAAAAGTTAAGTACTTTGTAAAGAAGTAGCCAATGGTTGAGCAAGGAGGTGATTTGGCTGAGATCATGCTCAATACCAACTTTTACCCCATAATTTAGAATACCCACTTTACAGTTGTTGGGTATGGCCCAGGAGCGTCTACCTACTCCAATGTAGATACTCACCTGATTTAACTGAATAAATAATAATTTGCCTTAGCTGAATTCAATCCCAGGTATGGGAGATTAGGAACATGATGCCTTATTATATATTATTATTATGTATAAGTGGTATACATACATATCTACACACAAAGACATCAATCTACTAAAAGTCGTCATGCCACTCTTCTTCCAAGCTTATGATATTGTTGATTATACTTCAACTTTATTTATTTGTCTATCTATCCACACTTTTATGAAAAACAGAAATGATAATTGCCAATATTTCTAAAAAAAGTACTAGTCCAAAAATTAAGCTGCTAGTTACATAAAAATAATTTACACTCTAAATTTTGTATGGAATCCAAAAACTATATACTAATTTTATCAAACAAAATCTCCCATTTATTATTTATTTTATGGCAAAGATTGATATGCAATTTTTACAATTGCTATGTATCAGGTAATTAGTTTGATCTATTATTGAATGTTTCAACTTACGATGTAATGTTACATATTATACAACTTTTTAAAAGGACGTTTTGAAAGTAGGAATAGAACCCAGAAAAGTCAACAGACTATAAAATAAAACATAAATAACAAATGGGAAGTATGATTTGTAATTAATAAAAAAAAAAAAAATTCATTATATGAAATCATAAAAAAAAAAAATTGTCAAAAATTTGTTCCACAACTAAGTGCTATGACAATCACATGCTTAAATATTTATAAATTATAAATAATACTTTTAATTCAGAGTGTAGAATAATGGAGACATATTTAAACCATTAAAAAAAACAATCACTACCGTCTTCATATAATGAAATTAAAAATATCATGAAAGATGAAATAAATAATTTATACTTGAAGGATTCTCTTTCTTTCTGGAATAGATCAACATGGACACATCTATATTTAAATATTATGGATTTAAAAGTTCAAAAATCTAGAGTACGAAATAGAAATATTGAATTCTTGATATTCTATTTTTAATTATAAGAGCCTGTATCTTATCTTGGACGTTATTTGTACAGTATTGTTATTTAAAAAATGCATTTGATTTAACTGTATATAATTGACACATTTTTTAATTAAAGTAATAAGTTAGAAATTAGAATTAGAGGTGGGGTGGCCGAGCCCAGCAACCTGATTAACTGAGTTACTATGATAAAATAATTATGACTTTGTGTCCCAGTGCCGGAGGATGGAGTAAGGGTAAGGGGGCTTTAACTCTGGTATTAACCCCCTGGCCAAAGAGAAACCCCATCTAGCCAAAAAGTAGAGGAAGGGATAGAAAGAAAAAAGTTAGAAATTAGGAATATTTCACTCATGGTCTCAAATAACTATGTAAAAGATAAGTTAGAAATTAAATTTAAATTTTTGTGATAAATCATCAAGTGATTAAAAATATTGTATGTAAAAAGCTGTTATTATATATTAGTTTAACTGCCATTTTAATATATTCATAATAAGTAAAAAATATGTTACAATTAAAAGAGATGATTTTTTGAGTTTAACTGATGCCGCTGCAAAATATGAAATCTTTTTAATTTATATTTTTATTCTTTATTTTTATATTATTTATTACTTTTTAATTTATTTATACAGACATTACATATCTTTTCTTAAGTTTTATACTAGATCCGACTAATAATAGAGTTGATATTATGTATAAATTAAGAAACACTAACAAAGTAAAATTGTATAAATCAATAAGTCTAAACATATATATAATTGATCAAGAAAAATGTTGCTACTTTTTAAGTAACTTCAATCAGTAACTTGAATCAAAGTGTACAAAGAAATGACATTTTTCTGATGTTTGTTCACCACTTCCATATTCACATAAAGGAATTGGGCCGACTTTAAATTCTCACCCCAATGCGAATTAAGTCAACTATTACCAGTTATGAGACATCAAATTAAAACTGGTTCCTTCTAAGAAAGTAAGTAATAAGAATTCTGGGGTTTAAAGTCTAAATTCTGATTTTTTTATCTTTGCAGACTGCTGCTTTATTTATAGGTTAAACTTCCTCTAATCAAGGAATGAAAGTGATTTGAAACCTAATTTTGGAAGCATATCAGCTCCTTCATTCCCAGGTATGCAGTGCCCAGGGATCCACTGCAGAGTGTCTTGCTCATAAATAGTAGTAAGACGTTCTAACTCGGCAGCAAGCAATTTTAGCTCTGGTTTCCACTTGGTCTTTAGGTTAAAAAAAAAACAGGTCGCATTAATCAGTGGAGCAATTTTTAATTTCTGATTTCTCTTGAGATCAAATAGAATTCTTGCGGTCTCCAGTAATGAGTTGGCTCTGTAGTTGGTAGAGTTAAACTCTGTAGCAACGATGTTATCAAATGCAAATGCATGACCATTTGCTATAGTTATTATATAGTTAATACTATATAATTATATTATTATACCATAATTTATATCTATGGTAAAGATGGTTAAAATAAATACTATAAATTAAAGTTTTGATCTTAGATTTTAAACATAAAAAATAAAGTTTACCTTTGGCAATAAAAATGAGCTAAATAAAATACTTCTTTTTTGTTGCTAAATTTCTTTTTAAAAGTCATAAGCTAATAAACCGGTAGTAATTCAATATTAATAACAAAAATGGAGCAATCAGTCAGTCTTAAAAATTCTAAATTACATTATAAAATTCTAAAGGCTTATGGAAGAATCTTCATCCTAAAAGAACAGAAAATTGAAATTATGATAAATCATATATCTAAAAACACATTAACAGTAAAATTACAACAAAAAATTAAGATAAAAAATAATTTTAAGAATACTATTAACAAATGTAATACAGATCATATAAAAAGATGTTAATTAAATTTAAATTAAAAACAAATAGATAATTAATAAAACAATGACAATATTTTCTCTTCATGGTATGTTTCACAGCCTGTTTTACTTATTCTAGTAACTTGTCAAAGATATTAATATAATACCAAAGTTTAAAAAAAAATAGGTAATCATTTTCTGAAAGGTAATTTGAATGAAACAACCTAAAATATTTCTTAGCCATGTGAAATTAAGTTAAATAATTCAAATGAATGCCTTCTAGTTTTCATTCAACAAGATGTTCTTTAGGCAAGAAGTAGTGAAGGATACAGTAAAGCCTAAAAGCTGAATGATAGTAAGTAAACTAGAATGATTTAATGTTAAATTCTTCCTTTAGTGGCATAATCAACACATCCTAATATTAATCAATTTTTTTAATTAAAAAAAACAGCAAATTGTTTACTAGTAATGAAGGGTTAATTTTATAAACAAAAACATTGTTAGGTATTTAACAATTTATTCACCTGTTTTTGTTGCTGATCATCCACAATTTAAATGGCGGTGCTATAAATCCACCCATCATAATTTGTATAGGCTGGTACAACAGCAGAGGTAACATAATCTGAGAAAAATGTGAATACCCAGAAAATAGTATTCGAAGAATAGGAATGCCTGAAGAATATAAAGTAATAAATTAATATAAAAAATTATATTATATAAAGATTATTTCAATATGAATATTGAAATTTTATTTATAAATTGCGTGTACTGGAAAGAAAGTGAAGCTTACCAAGTGTTAAAGATTTATAACTTGAGCATATTGTTATAGCAACAATATCTGAGGCGGAATACCACGGAAAGCACTGTGATGTATGGAAACAAACATACATTGACAACATATGAAACAGTAAAACTGGAATACAAAAATAAATGTTATATGAACTTGTATTAATTAACATAAGCTTTCTTATTATTAGAGACTAAAGAAAGCAATTAAAAAAATTCTTACCGAGAAATATAGAAAGCACAATATCTAATGCTGTCATGGACGTGTCTTTAGCATCAATGAATGCATCACAAAATGTTGTGTAAATGATAAAAAGAAGAATCAACTGTCCAACAAATGTCAGTGGTAATGATTTAGTGCTTCTGATAATTTTAAAATGCTTCAGAAGGATCCCTACAATCAATGGAATGAGCACTGTTTGTCCCAATAGTAACATTGAGCCTAGCATAAATATGAGCGCTGTTGATCCAGACTAAAACAAAATAAAATCAAGATTTTAACATGACTCTTTAAACATTTATAAAATGAATTAGTTTACATGCTTGACCATTCGTTATATTCTATGAAGAAGAAATAGAATTTATAAACATTATGAAACCTAATACAACTTGAAAGTAAGGCACTTGATTTCTAATTCTTGGTATAAGTAAGGGTGTGGCAGAAAATTTTGTACCAAACCTTTCATTGAGTTAGAAGAAAAACGTGGAGATTGAACATTGATTTGGACCACATCTAACACTTTGTGTAACTGCTAGTCAAGAAAAAATAAGTTAAACAGAAGTGTTTTCAAGGTATAAAATAGTACAATTAAGTTATTGAATTTCAACCAAGCCTATTTTCTATTTTTTAAATATATTTATTGTTCATTTAAATTTTCAGAGTAGATTATCATGAAATGAAAAAATTTCTTTAAAGAAAATAGAGGTGATGTTTAGTTAATAAAAAGTTATAGAATAGACTTCATAGGCTAAGAAATTGTATGCCTCAACTGATGACTTTCTCAAGGCATAAATGTAATAATGCCAACGTAATATGTTAATGTCAAAACCTTTGTTGCTGAAAGGCAAGTAAGGAAGATATAACAAATAAGTTAAAATAATACAAGATGATTATGTCAATGCTATGAGGAGTTTTGTAAATACCATGTACCAAAACTTTGAAACTTTCATTGAAGCTAAAAAAGGCCCCATTGATTGCTGATTAATTGCTTTTTACAAATTTGAGGCAGTACTACCAAGAATAGTGATTTATATAAAAATTTTATATAAATTTTTACTAATACTAAATACAGCTATATGACCAGAGGTACAAAAAAAGTCAGAGACGCAGACTTCGTGGAGAGGGAGGCAGGACGAGAGGAGCTATCACCTCCAAATGAACTAAGAGAAGAGGCGAGAATATCGTTTTACCCCCCTACCTGTCCCTCTCCCTCCCAATATTTCGAAGAACAAAAATTATAACAAAATAAAATCAAAATCAATTCAATCAATTTTATTAATGTACATCAATGAATAAAATATGCAAAACTAAAATCAATTATAAAATAGGAAGAGTTGACTAGATGGCTAAGGCCTAGAAGAAGGTAACAAGCATTTTACCAGACCCTATGTCCCTATTATTGAAATTTTAGCTTATATTAAAAACTATTATATTGTTTAGTTTATATTTTTCATATAGTTTGGTATTATATTGTTTGTTTTGCAATAATTTTGTTAATCATCACTCATAATTTTTATACATAATATAAACTCTAGAGACATATTTTAGAGATTGGGGGGTCCCATCCCCCCTCCTAACCAAAATGGAAAGTCTGCGCCTATAAAAAAGTATGAAAATTTCCAACAAGAGCTGTTGATATATATATTTATGATTTGCAATATCAATAATAAAAACTATTACTAGCATCTTGTAAGATTAAACCATTCTTTTTCTAGATGTTATCTAAATACACTGCATTGAAATGTGAGTAAAAAATCTTAAAAACTGTAATCAATCCAATTTATTTAAGATGGAAAGATTTCCTCTAACTGACCTTTAACATTCATTGATTTCAAATAATTTTACTTTGAGAACTGAATATTCATTCATATAAGATCCCACACAGACTTGAAGTTTTCTGTACTTACAAAGTACAGCAGCAAGATAGGCGATATTATGATTCCTATAAAACTCCCCAAAATAGAATTAAATACAGCTGCAGCTTCATTTCCTCCGATAGCTTTTGTTATAATGACAGCAGAAGAAACAGGAGGAGGCATGCAACTCACAGTGAGTAAACTAAAACAAATAAAAAAAAAAATTGACCAACTGTAGATTCAGTAATTAACTTCATGAAGTTAATTACTGATTCTTATGTTAAAAAGATAAGTAAATATGCATATTTTTAAAATGTCATATAATAAGAATAATTTTAGGGACAGTGAGAAGATAAGTCATAGTTCTTATCTACATTGATTTTAAACTATGGTGTAAAGGATTGCTATGTTGCACTACATAAAACAATTCCAGTTTTAAGATTAATATTTTCTGCGTCAAAAGATAAAAATTGAAAACTTGTAACAACTTGAAGTGATTCCCTTTAACCTTTCCTTTTTCGTGTTAATCTCATAATTTAACTAAAGTACTCAATTTATCTACCACACAGTGGCTGACAAAGAGGGTAGGGAGGGGGTGTTACAGCCGAGTGGACTCAGGTAGTAATAGGTAATCAATTCAGAAATGTCCAGTGGGGTGAATACTTGTACTTGGATGTTTGACATGCCTGAATTGGGTAAATGTTCACTAGTGAAAGCCATGCTGCTTCCTCCTCTCCCCCAGGTATGTGAGGCCTGTAAGCGAGATGGAGAGAACTCACACCTATTATGTGTAGGACTGGTGACCCTACCCCGGATACACAAATCAGGAATTGGAATGTAGTATTCTAGGATTTTAGTAGTCTTCCTGAGGTTTGGTCAATTTTGGAAAAGAAATATAGGAACCCTTGTGCTTGCTAACTCTGAGCAGACATAATTCATGGATATAGACTAATATTTCATAGTTTTTGAACTGAGTGAGTAAGTAGGAAGGATACTGCCAGAATGGACCTAAAGTTTTCGTGAAGATGAGGGATAAAGCTACCACTGCACCATCGAGACCATGGTTTTTAGTAATGTGAAGTTGAGTGACACACTCCACAATATCTGTGCTCCCACAAGTGATATATAGTCTACTGTACCTACCCAAAAAAAAAAAATAGTGCCTGACAATTTTCGTGTATCCAAAGGCAACTATGAATATGCATGCTATACATGATCTAGATCAAATTGATAAATTAAAATCTTACCCTTGCAATATCCAAACATTTATCCCACTGAAAAGAAATCGTAAGATTGTAGTTAATACAAGAACCATGACTGGTATGCATATAAAAGTAAAACATTGTATAAAAGCATGAATATGATAACTTGATGCTGCATTTAACAATTCATCCATTGTCATTGAAATGCCAGATATAAAAAATATAACTCCAACTGATAAGTATTTTACAGTCCATTCTGGATGCAATATGCCTGAAGCATAAAAATAAATTATATTTTGATTTATAAGTACTACACGAATTTAAAAAAAAAATTTAAATTATAAAAAACTACTAAATACCTCCGGTGGCACCAAGTGAAGGAAAGGTTTCAGCAAATAAAATGATGGGGAATATTGCAATGAAAAACCAATGTCGCCTTAAGAGTACTTTGAGATTAATAGAATAGTAAATTTTCTTTTTTTCCATTTACTTTAAATATACTTTAATCAAAGCTATTTTGTACCACTAACAATTTTCATTGGTAAGTTATCAATTAGATGTACTTGAGAATTCGAACTATTAGTTTGATAGGCTTATTTTTAATATTATTCACTTGAACTGTGAATGATAGGAACTTTTGTCATTTAAAAAGGCATTCGGCTCTTGATATTAACATAAAATTAAATTTATATAAAGCTGATAATTATAAAAACAATTTTTTAATGGAAATTACAAAGAGGTATAATGTAACCTTCACTTAGTTGCCGAAAGAGAAAACTAACTAAAGTTGTTAACACTGAGATTCATCACATTTCTGATACCTGTAGAAAGGAGAAAATATTGGGGTATCAAAATATTTCAAATTAATGATTTCAAGTAAGAAGCAAAACATTGTTAGAAAAGTTTGAGACAGGACGATCAAATTTTCGATGACGATCTCTATTGTGTGATCTACAACTTCTTTTTCATTTTATTCTGCCTTATTTTCATTATCTTTTCATCTTTATATTATTAGCCTGCCATACTTTAATTACTTTTTTTTTCATTAAAACGAAGGCAAATTAATGAAATTTTTCACATTCTCCTTTATTTTAGCCGAAATGCCTGAATACAGCTTGAACTGTGGAAAACCGATCTCCCATTCAAGAGATAAAAGAAGAAAATTAAACGAAATTTCGAATTTTTTTACTCTTTTTCATCTTAGCCTTCCTCTTAACTGTCAGAACAAGTTTAAACAATGAAAATTCGAACCACCATTTGGGAGATAAGCGAAGAAAAGCGTATGAAAATTAGGAGATTTTTTACTCTCTTTCATTTTAGCCTACCTCTAAACTGTTGGAAAATAGTTTGACTTTAATAGTTCAAAATACGAAGAACTTCTTGTCTTCGAAAGAAAGATTTTGAGACGGATGTAAGATCCGTTAAGAATGATTTTAACCAGTGGAAGAGGCGCTATAACAGAGGTGTATGAACTCTTTGGAGAAGTGAACGTTATACGTTTTATGAGAAGTGTGGTCGGCTAAGATAGACAAGCACATAGCTAAGATCAATGAGGGAAAAAACACAAAGTAATTACTGTTCGGGAAACTTGGCTGGTCGAGAGGAAGACCAAGGCCAAGGTAGGAAGATGCTGTCATCAGGAATGCTCAAACTCTTTTAGTAGTACTAATTGGAGAGCGACTTTACAAGTACGTGATAAATGCTTATAGGAGCTTTTATACCGTTCAAATAAAATAAATTTCAAATAAATATTCAAATTATAATATTTGTCTCCAACACAAGTATGTTAACAGTTAGTATTGAGGCAGCAGTGGTTTCTATGAGTGATATGCAGTGGTGAAATGATGTAAAGAGTTTATTTTACCAAAAATAAGGAGTGTTATTCCAAAAGACGAATCTTCCTTGATCTCAGTCCTATTTAACAACCACTGATAGGCATTTCGAGGTTGTAGAAGAGTACTTACCAGAATGTTAATTTCAAGATTAATTTTCAGGAGCCACTGAAAAAAATATATTAACGTTCGAAAGACATTTTTTTTTGGTCCTCCCCTTCCTCGCCTTTAAGGCTATACGGGGTTCTCCCGGGCCAGGGAGTGTGGGCGGGGATTTAAAAGACTCCCCCAGCACCGAGATGCCAACTCGGAACTATTTTTTATCGTTGTCTCATACGTCAGGTTGCCGGGCAACGGCGGTACTGTGCACACTCGTTAGCCCATTCGGCCACCCCGCCCACTCGTTCGGAAGACCTTAGTACTTTAAAATTATTTAATATTTGAGGGCGTTTATAAAATTTTCCGCTAAGAGATATTTCACTCCGTACTTTTTTTTTTTTTTTTTTTTTTTTTTTTTGTTCTTCCCTACCTCGCCTTTTAGGCTATACGGGATTTTCCCGGGCCGGGGGGTGAGGGCGGGGAATTTAAAATCCCCTCCGGCACCGGGACGCGAACTCGTACTTTTTATATCATCTCAAATCTCTGTTATCAGGCAACTAGCGGTGCTGTTACACACGCTTTAGCCTATTCGGCCACCCCGCCCCCATTTAACTCCGTACTGTCTTCATCCTCCCACAATTGATAATGAACTACATAACACGGATAGATTGCTATCAGCGTGTTTTCGAAGATTTCTGCCTATCCTCCTATTAAAAAAAAAGTTCTTCTTCTTCTTAAGCCTTTCCTCTTCTACCCCAGAGAGGTGTGAGGAGCCTTCCTGTAGAGCCGAATCCACATCTCTCGATCCTGAGCCAACAGCCGCCTCCTCCTCCAGTGAATATCACTTCTGTCAAAGGCCTCCTTGACGCTGACCCTCCCAGGTCTTCCTGGGCCTTCCTCGACGTCTTGTTCCCTCAACTTTGCTTTCCAACGCTATCCTGGCCATTCGATTTTCTGGCATTCGAGAGACATTACCAAACCATCTCAAACGATTTTCCTCCATCACAGTTTCGGCTGATCTTACGTTTAGATATTTCCGTATTATGAAGTTCTTTATGTGATCTTTCTTTATTTTTTCTTCGACCCTGGGCAGGAATCACATCTCCATGGCCTGAATCTGACTAATGTGTTTTGTTGTGAGATTCCATGATTCGCTGGAGTAGGTAATTATCGGGAGTAAGCATTTTTGCACTCAGTCGTTTTGGTCTCCTTGCTCACTTCTCTCCTGTTCAAGAATCCTTTCTTGATGGCGGTGAAGCACCTTCCTGCAGAATTCACTCTTTCTTTATTTTTCCGTCGATCCATCCATGTTCATTGATGTTGGAACCGAGGTATCTAACGTGTAATTGCATTTAATAGGATTCCAAGAATCACTAATCCACGTTTTTTTTTGTTATTTCCTACCTTGCCTTTTAGGCTATATGGGATTTTCCGGGGCCGGGGGGTGAGGGTGGGGAATTTTAAATCTCCTCCAGCACCGAGACGCGTCCTCGTACTTTTTTTTTTTTTCTGTCCTACCCTTCCTCGCCTTTAAGGCTATACGGGGCTTTTCCCGGGCCAGGGAGTGTGGGCGAGGATTTAAAAACTCCTCCGGGCACCGGGACGAAAACTCGTGACTATTTTTTTAATCAAATCTCTTGCATCAGGTTGCCGGGCAACGACGGTGCAGTGCACACGCGTTAGCCCATTCGGCACCCCGAATTTTTTTTTTTGCCTATCTCAGACCTCTGTGAATTCTTCCTTTATCATAATTCTCTTGTACAGAATATTTCTTCCTCTCTGTATTTTGTGAAATCCAGCAGTGTGACAATTCCAGAGACAACCTATTTTGTTTAATTTTATTTATTTATTTTTTAGAACAGATATTAAACAAAAACTTATAAATATATTTTTTTTTACTTCGAGAAACGTGAGGTAAAATATAGCTCATTAGATTTAGTTTAAGTGTTTCACAGTGATTATGAATTTCTGTTAACAATTGAATATTTTTTTTTTTTACTTTCGACGGATCTATACGTTTCAGAGTCCCCTGAGTCCGAAAAACACATTTTTAAATCATATTGACACTTGATAACATTACGAGCAAGAATATTTAGTTTGGGATAATGTGGATTGAAATACGGCTTATATAATTAAAATAACAAACTTCATGTTTAACACTCAGAAACATAGATTACTGTTTTTTTTTTCATTCTTTAAGTTAATCGAGGATGAACGGATTTTTCCTCCAATATCAGATTTAGACATAGTTTTGCGTTTGTAAAATAATGTAAAGTTTTATATGATTCTTATTAATTCCATGTACTAAACATCCAGAACATTTGGAAGGAGTGTTAGTGCTTACACGTCATTATTACTATGTGCATATGATTAGGAACTGTTCACCTCCCTTAACCTCCTAATTTAATATACAGGATGTTTCAGTCATAACTGGTTCATAAGACACTGCCCATATACTGAAGGCACCATTTGAGTTATTTATGTAAGGTATTTTTATTATATAATAATTATTTTTACTCGTTTATTATGTGAATAAGGAATAACTCTTATTACAAATAACATAATCTATAAAGGTACAATTAATTACTCTTAAAAGTTTCAATATAATAATGAGAAAAACAATTATACTTTCTTTGTTTATGAAGTTAAATCAAAATTAATCTGATGTTAAAAAATATTAGGCAGACAGGATCGTCAACGAAGTTCACGAACAAGGTGCATGCCTGTAAAGTCACTATAATTTAAACAAATCAGATACAATATGCGTAACACAACTTTCTCTTACTACTTTAGCTGAATAATAAAAAAATAATAATAAAACTTCAAATTATAATTAAATGATTAAATAATCTATAAATAGATAAGGATTGTATTCTGTTGTAAAGAGTCTAGAAATTAAACTTTTATCCCTTCAAGTATTTTTTAAAATCACTTATACATTTAGTAAAATTTAACCAAATGGAGTTGCGAAATTTCCATTGCCTTCCGTCGATATATATATATATATATATCATATATTTTTTTTACACACACACACACATATATATATATATATATATATATATATATATATATATATATATATATATATATGTATGTGTGTATATGTATGTATGTATGTTTATTTTTCATCTACCAAATTTTATTTCAGTTTTGAAAATATTTTCTATTGAAAAATCTAAAGCCTTGTTTCGTTCAAAACTATATTATCTTATTTATGCTTATTTTGTGGATTAGTTTCTATTTGCTGAATGCTGTCCGGCTAATATTTAATTATCTATTAATTATCAATTATGAGGGATACATTTATTAAAAGTTAATCATATATTTACCAATCGTAAAAATTGCTTGAAACATTTTCATCGGCATCGCTTCATCACCCCTCAAGGCAGTACGATAAAATAGTTTTTAAATTATTCCATAACGACAAAACGATGCATATATATTTTTAGTTGTCAATCTTAAACAATGGCCTAAAAGGTTCTCTTTAATTTGTAATTTTCTCTGACTACCGGAAACTGTTAATTGTTATTCTAACCACGAGAGACTGCTAATTATTCTAAATAGACCATATAAAAGTTACGTTAGAAGAAGCTTTTTTGAAAACTTGATATTTAAGCACCGTGATAATAAAACACATTTTATTTATAAATATAATAAATTAAAAATAATAATTTTTAAAATATTTTTCACCTAAAATCGTTATGAAATTGTGCTTTCCTCACAGATCTCCCTCAAAGGAATTGATATGTATTCATGAATGACAAATTGAATGTTTCTTAGTAAAAATATGGGAAAATAATATTTTTTAAAGTATATATATATATTGAGGGAGATCTGTGAGGAAAGCACAATTTCATAACGATTTTAGGTGAAAAATATTTTAAAAATTATTATTTTTAATTTATTATATTTATAAATAAAATGTGTTTTTAGAAAATTATGTTCGTTACAATACATCCCGTATCACGAAAAAAACAGTAAATTAATTGTCATTTTAGCAGAAAACACGGTACTTAAAAGTTACTGGATAGAAAATCTCATAATTTCTTTACACAATTTGTGGCAAATCTCCATTTTTTTTACTAATAAACCTCAACTTAATTGATATCATCTCAAATCTTATGAAACGAGCAAGTTTTTCAAAAAGTGGGGTAAATGTATTACAGTTGAAGGGTGATAATAAAAAATCACAAATAAATTATTACTTTTTAATAAACGGAACTTAACTATATTTGTGCGCTGAATAGTCCTCTTTAAATAGTTTTCACAATGACAAACTCTACGTTTGTTGAAAGCAACGTTAGACTAATTTACTGTGGAATAATGTTTAGTTGTTTAATTCAAATATTTTTTTAAGTTATCGCCTCCTATTCAACAAAAACGTTACTCGCATAAAAAACACAAATCTTAAATTTCCTACTTTTCTGCTGGAAATTGGACAATTGTTTATATGAACTTTTTTAATAGAATTTGATGTCTACTATCTAACTTTTAAATATTTCCTTCTAAGAATGGGACACCCTGTGTGTATCTATATGTATGTATTTATGGGTAGATGTGTGTGAATATATAAAACTAGTGTACATCTCAAAACTTTCACTTGGAAATCTAACTAAATAAGAGGGCTAGTTCATATTTAATTATTTAGCTCTGTTGTCGTGGCAAAAATTATTAAACGATACCATCTTTAATTATATTATAATACCCTATGTTTTATCCTTAAACAATGTTTCAAATATTTTCAGCCCTACGTAAAGTAAGATAAAATAGTTTTTAAACGATTCAACGACAATTCGATCTATATATATATTTTTGGCAAGTCAAGCTTAAAAATAATTTTAATAGTTTTAATGTAGTTTGTAAATTTCATTAAATCATTGTACATGATATGTACCAGCGCGTGTTTGTGTGCGTCGGTCGCGCTCTTATGAGTGTGTCTGGTTTACAGTGTCCAAAATTAAACACGAAAAGACGTATGAAACTAAAATCACATATTAAGGTACGTATATAAGCTAAAGAAACCTACTGATTGCTTCAATTATTTTCATGAAAACGTAAATTTTAGAAGTAGAAACATTAAGTTTGTCACTTGTAAATATACATAAATTCCTATGACAGAAATCTGAGAGAAAAACACAATTTAATAACCACCTTACATAATAAAAATGGGAAAATAATATTTTTTAAAGTATATATATATATATATATATATATATATATATATATATATATATATATGTATGTATATATATGTACTTTATGTATATCTTATATGTGTATATATATATATATATATATATATATATATATACATATAAAAGTGGCCGGGGTAGCCGTATGGGCTAAGGCGCTTGCATGAGGTAATCAAAGTTAAGCAACGTCAGGGAAAACCGATGCTGCCCGAGTCTCTCCCCCACTCGGGTATGTGAGACCCGTCAGGCTACTGGAGGCAACTCACACCGACCGGGCGTAGGACTGATGACCCAACCTGCGTACTTAATCAGGAATCGGGATGTGGTCTACCAGGATGCTAGCCCCCCTGAAGTTCGGTTCATGGACAGTCTGTTTCGGCGAAAGAAATGCAGGTACTCGTGTGCCTGCTGACGCCGAGCAGTCATAATCCATGGATCCAGACCGATTTGTCAGTGTCCTTGAACCCGAGTGAGTCGGTGGGAAGGACATTCCCAGATTGGTCCAAAGGGATCGGTTATGGAGCCCGGGTGGCCTGCCGCTGCACCATGGAGATCATGGTTCGTAGCAACGTGAGGTTGGGTGACCCCCTCCAGGCAATCTGAGCTCCCGCAAGCAACATACGTCTGTAAGGAGACCACATATCGCGGCCAAAGATCTTCACGGTCAGTAGTGACAACAGAAAAAAAAATATATATATATTCGAATCTGAGGTTTAAAAGGAAACACACATTTTGAAGTTACCTGAGTCAAAATAAAGAAGTCCCACAAAATGACCTGTGTGTGAACAGCTCAAAAACAAAAAGTGTTACGAAACTGAAATTACGTATAAACCTGGAATGTTAAAGCAACTTTTTCGTCAAAATCGGTTAACCAGAAATGGCACTTTATATCAACGATTTTACACATTGTTACGAATTTCTCAAAAACTGCTCTAACGGTTTCGAATAAACTCGGTGTATCAATGTATAAGGGGTCTTTAATATCGTCAAGGACTAATTCCCATTGATGTCGTTTAGCAAGTCTTAAATGACCAATGTTCAAAATTTCATCCCCTTATGTACCTTTAATTTGGTTGGTTTTAAATAATTAACTATCTCTCATTGTTACGAGTTATGATAAAAGACTAAATATAACTTTTGATAAAATTTGAGTGAATAAAATGTTTATTTAGGTCGGAAATGAATCTCCGAAAATAATAGTTAGACGATATAGGTATAATGTATCGTGGGATAGCTGAGAATAAGAAAAAGACAATATGTAATAATAGTGATGAAAAAATAGTAAATAATAATTTCTGAAAACTAAAATTATTTAACGGAAATAACATGTTTCTGAGGAAAAGAAATGAAATTTCCTAACGAAATGACCTTTGAAAATTATGTTGAAGTTAAAAAAAAAAAATTTAAAATCCACCAAATAAAGGCAATGACATTGTTTAAAAAACTAATTCATTGCATTTGTGTGAAAGAAGAAGTAAAATATAAAAATATTTCTGGGATGTGTAAAACATGTTTTCATAACATTAAATACATTTACTGTAGTTTCATAAGTCTAGATCCGATACTATATTTATCGGGCTGAAACCCACCCCCCAAAATGGTAAAATATAACAATATTTTACAGAAAAAAATATTAAAAACTATCTCTTAAAGTATTCTTGTTCGTGTAATTATATTTAATAGGACTTCAAGAACCACTTAAACACCATTTCATATAGGTAATTAATTTCTTTATTTTTTTCAAATTAATTATCGTTATATGTATATGAAAAAAAAATCTTTTGGGCTGAAGCCCCTCCCAAAATTAAATCCTGGATCAGCTAGTGCTGTTTACTCAAAAACGTTTCATCTAATTTACGATTGTACACTTAGAATTTTATTATCTAGACCAGTTTTTGAGCAATTCCTTCTTATTAAATGAAAAATGTGTCCATACAAAATTGTTCCTAACTAATTTTCCTATCAGAATTGGCCCATGCATCAAATGAACTTTGTTGTTGGTATTTTTATTTAGAATCACCCAACAGAGTTTGGCCATTAAGAACTTAGATACCCTGTATAGATATATACAGATATATTATATATATAATATATCTGTATAATATATATATATATATATATATATATATATATATATATATATATATATATATATATACATTACTTTTTATATATAAATTATATATTACTATTTATTGGTCTCAACAATGAGAAACTCTACCTTCGTTTGAAGTAAATTTGATCTAGTTTACTAAAAAGCTATTTTAAATTAAATATTTTTGCAGACATCGCATTCTACTAAACAAAAAACGTGATTCACTTAAAAAATCACAAATCTTGAATTGTCTGTTCATATTTTATTTTCCTCTGCTATTTTCTTATTTAGCAGATTACTTAATGCAGTTGCAGTCTACAAAATGTCACCTTTAGTGCAAAGAGAATAAACATGTAAAATTGTTACATACGAACTTTTGCAATATAACATATATATATATATAAATCTAGGAAAATGAAGGAGAAATAAATTAACGTATTACAGAATTTATTTATTTTACTAGACTATCAAAGCTTGTTCTACTTTTATAAAACCTTTACATCACTTGTTTCTTATTATATGCAAATTAATTTCTAAGGTCATGAATAATTACATATGATTTGTTTGTGGCCTTCTGGTTACAGGAAGAAAGATTGAGATGACATTAGTTTATGTTGAGGTCATTGACCACGTATCATATCAAGGTTAACGTTAAAAGTATGTTAAAAAATAATTAAAAAAATATTATTTAATGATAAATTGTGAGCGTCATTCAGAAGAATAAGCACTAAGCAAACCAGTCATGAAGATATAGAAGACTGCCAAATAATTTATAAGTTCATCTCAAACTTCTGTTTATGGATAACTGTTGAAGTTATAATAATAAAAAATTGAATATTATGCAAAAAGTGTTATTAATTTTTAAAAAATGAAGAAGAAATAAATTTTAACCAATAGCGAAATGATTATTAGATTTTTTTATATTATATTATAAATTAGATTTTAAGTTTGGCTAGCTCTTAAATAATATTAGTAGCTTAGTCTGGTATTGAAAATTTTCATTATATAATGATTTTATGTTCAATAAATGATGTATGTTGCAGTGTCACTAAATTAAGATAAAATGACGAAAGTACCAACCATTCCTGATTTTTATTCTCAACAACAAATTTTCATCACGGGGTCTACTGGCTTTATGGGAAAAGTACTAGTGGAGAAACTACTGAGATCATGTTCTGATTTAAAAATAATTTACGTATTAGTGAGAAATCGGAAGGAGAAATCTGCTCAAGAGCGATGGCAAGAAATTACAAAGGCCGAGGTATTTATTGTATTTATAATTATATACCTGTGTAAATTATATAAACAATTAGTATAAATTATGTATAAAACTTATTGGTGATTATGTTATTCAAACATTATTATTAAATAATTTTAAAAAGAAACTTTGAGGAAAAAAAAGGACCATTGTTTTGTTTATAAGCCGAAACAATAAAGAAGAAAATTTAAAAATTACTGTAAATTTTTGATTTAATATTGGATTATTCCTTCCTGTTGCTTTTCAGGTGGCTTGAAATGCATATTGCATAGATTTTAAAAGATATTGAATAAATTCTTGAAAAATATTTTTCTACTGATAAGTTTAGTATGAATCCCAGGCCTCTTTGTACATAGAGTAAAGTTCTTTTCTGTTATAATGGCATTGTAGCCAATTCTTTAAATGTAAAATTTTTTAAATATTACATTGATTACAACTACAAACTGCTGTTGGGTAATTATACTTCCAAAAGTTATAGGAAAAATTGAGTTTGAAATTATATTAGTTTGATATATCTTATTTCAAAATTAATTATCTGTTTAGTACTAACATTATAATAGAAGAGAAGGATGGTTGGAGTGTTCAGTCAAATTGAAATGATAAAAAATAAATAATTTTATTTATTTTTTACCGTTTCAATTATCCTTCTCCTTCTCTAATCCTTCTCTTCAATTATTCACTAGAGTCAACCAAAAACCCACAATTATTAATATTATAATAATAATATATTTTTACTGAGTACAAAGAATGTTATGGAATAGGTCTTCGATCGACTTAAAAAAGAACGTCCTGGAATTTTAGAAAAGAAGATTGAAGTTCTGTGTGGTGATGTAAAGGAGAAAAATTTAGGTCTAAGTACTGAAAATTGGAAAAAACTTCAAGAAAATGTATCAATAATTTTCCATTGTGCTGCGAGTGTTAGATTTAATGATCCCCTACCAGAAGCTGTGTTCATTAATCTCAGAGGTTCCTATGAAGTGATTAGGCTTGCCCAGGGTATGAGCAAACTAAAGGTAAGAATAAGATACAGTTATTCCAATAGAAATATTTAAATTTATTTTATACAATTAATCTAGATGTGAAAAATCCATAAGCATCCTAATAGCCAGTCCTAACCACACATAAGCTATTATCTAAAAAATAAATTGAAAATTTAAATATTGATTAAAAATCACTGTCCTACAGAAGTATATCTCTGCTCTAAAATAACATACCAAATGGTGTTAGATGGAGTATTTTATTCTAACAAAAAAAATAGGTTAAATCAAGTAATAAAGTAAAATAAAAAGGGATGAATCATGCATTTTATTTTAATCAGTTTGTGCCATTATTGGTAGTTATAGTCTGATTATATATTTTTAAATATATTAATATCTGTACCTTCAGTGACATTATAGTTTTAAAATTAAGAAATATGCTAAGTATTTAATTTGTCAGTACAGCTCCATGTCAAGAGCCCCACTTCAAGAGTTTTACCACTATTATATCCATCATAATCATATAACTTAAATAACTCTTATGTACACAATAAAACTGTATGGTCACATATTCAACAGTTTCAATAGCTTTTTTTCAATAATTCAAATAAAGGTACACTGGGACTAAGATTGACAAATATCTAATTGCAAACAAAATTTTATCATTTAGACCAAGGGTCTCCTAACTCCAACGAAAAAAATTGGAAGTCTCCTTGTGGCCGGTGGATCAAAAAGTTTGGAGACCCCTGGTTAAGACTCCAGTATTTAATGTTTCAAAATTTTACAATTTTTCCATGTAATATTTAGGTATCAGAATAATGCATCATATATTTGAGAAAAAAAAAAAAAAAAGACTTTCTTTTAAGTTTCAAATTGTATGGATCCTGTTTCAAACTGACATCAATGGATGTAATGTTTTAACTTTACATTATTTTAAAAAATACATATTCTTTTTGTTCCATTTCAGGTTTTAGTACATATTTCTACTACATACTGTAATAACTTTTCTACAGAAAGTGGAGAAACAATATATCCAGCACCTGCTGATTGGAGGAAAACAATTGAAATAGCTGAAAAATTGGATCCTAGAGAAGTCAACATTCTATCAGCTAAGTAAGTAGTTTTTATTCAAAGTACAAGCTTTGTTGAGATTATACTCATTTATTGCGGTTATCTAATTGTATATTTATAAAATGTGAATTTTTTAAACTTTTATTTCATTTTTTTATAATAAAATTAAAGACTTCAGCATTACATCTGAAGCGAGTAAACACTTCTAAAAGTTAAAATTTGATCTTATTGTATATATTTACATATATGTATAGGTGTATATTTTTTTATTACATAATACTAGAAAGTGGTATACTATCAATTAATAAAAAATAACAATTAATTCATGTTCACAAAATTCAGATAACAATAAAAAAAACTCCAATTCAAAATATTTTGTTCTAATGCGATTTTACTTTAGGATTAATGATTAACATTTTAAAACATAACAATGGCACACCTTTTCTGTGTTAAATCATTTAATCAGTATTTTATGATTGTCTGATTCAAATACTAATTTTAAATTAATTTTCAGGTATCTTGGAATATTTCCTAATACTTACACATTTACCAAAAATCTAGCAGAAAGGATGATTTGGGATCATCGTGATCAGTTGCCAATGGTGATAATTAGACCATCCATCGGTAAATCAAACAATTTTTAATTATTTATGGCTGAAATTATTGTGAAATTTTATTTAAGTTGGCTATTCAATATAAATAAAACTTAATACAAAAACTTAAGTTTTTAAAACAATAACTTAATAGATTATTTAACACGAACATTTACTACACCATAAGATAAGAACCAGCTAATTGACATTAGCAAAAATATTTAATATATTAATATTTTAAATGAGAAGTTGCATAATACTTTTTAAATAAAAAAAATCATTTATTTCAAAATTACCAAAGGCTTGATAGCTAAGAGGTGATACCTTGTTATTGTCTCCTCCTCCCCTCTCCTTCCCCCCAAAGAAATCTGATTTCATATTTTAACATTATTAATATCATGCAACTACATGCCATTAATCAGAGAAAAATTGTATTTGTGTGTGAGGCTGATGTATATGAAAAATATAATGTCTTGATCTCTAGAATCTGACAAATGATTTCAATATTTTCAATTATACTTTAATTTTTTTTATTTCAATTTGTTATATCTACTATAAAGTCAGTATGAGGTACGACATGTTAGCTATTTTTATAAAATTCTTTCCCATTTAGTTTAAAGTCAAATAGTAAAAGCATTTAAACTACCTTCATAAATATGTAATTATGACCCACTTGAGATTCAATTTAGACTAATGGTCAATTGCTCCATGATATATATATATATGTTTTTTTTTGTCCTGGAATGTTTCTCTCTCCTGATTGTATTAAGAGATGAAGTAGCTCTATTTATTTGTGATTTCTTCTTTATTTTGTTTATTTCTTTTTTTTTTTTTTTTGTAGTGATTTGTTCGTTAGAAGAACCTATGCCGGGTTGGATAGATAACCTCTATGGACCTCTCGGGTTAATGCTTGGTACTGCAAAAGGTGTAGTAAGGGTAACTTTGGTTGATAAAGATTCTATACCTGATTATATGGCAGTGGACATTGCAATAAAAGCCATGATTATAGCTGCCTGGAAAAAAGGAGTTAGGTAATATTAATCTTGATATTTAAATGGTATTTCAAAGATTTTTTAACTAAAAGTAATCATTATTTGAACAAGTATTGATTTGTTATAAAGATATCATATTAACTTGTTAGGAAAAATAGTGGTTTTGAAAAAATTATCTATTAATTATTTATGTTGACTTAAGTAAATTCAAATGATATATATGGATGTCCACCCCAAACAATTAATTTCCATTTTGGGTAAAAAAAAAAATTGTCATCATAAGGACTACTTTTAACAGAACTAGATTAAATTTCAAACCTGGTTTGCTATAAATTGGCTTGAAATTTAATATAATTTCATCATAAAAGTGGTACTACCTGAACCTCTTTATCAAGCGATGAGGGAACTAAACATCCCAGAAAAACTTATTCGATTGGTTAAATTAACAATGGCGGAATCGTTGTATGTGATGCCTGTACAGGGCGAATTGTCAGAGATGAGTTTTTCAATGAATGGTGTGAGACAGGGAGATGCGTTGGCATGTCTGCTCTTCAACATTGCATTAGAGAAAGCGGTACGAGATGCACGGATCCAAATAACAGCCACAGTGTTTAGTAGAATGGTTCAGATCCTTGGTTATACAGATAATCTGGATATTGTCGGTAGATCCCAGGCTGCAGTTCGTGAGACTTTCCTTGCACTGGAAGCAACAGCCGGACAACCGGGACTTCGTGTAAATGCTGTGGAAACCAAATATATGACCTCCAAGTATGGTATCTTGGCAGATAGTGTGCAGTTTGGCTTCTGTGAGTTTGAAAAAATGGATGAGTTCGTCTAATTGGATCCCTGATAACTGCGGGAAATGATATTACAAAGGAAATTGAGAGGAGAAAAATCATTGCTAACCGATGTTACTTTGGGCTAGGAAGACATCTAAGCAGCAAGTATGAAGTTGTAAATTTTTTTGTAAGAGGACAACAAAATTAGGGCTGTATATCAGGCCGGTCCTGACGTATGGCTCAGTCATGGGTAATATCATGGATGGATGAACGAAGTTTATTGGCTTTCGAGAGAAGAATTCTGCAGCGCATTTATGGACCTGGAAGAGTCGGTTAAACATACCTCAGGAGGGGGCTTATGAAATATATAATCTCCTTGGTGAACCTGACTTTGTGAAGCATATTAGGCTGGGGATACTGAGGTGGGGACTTTTCATGAGAAAGTTTTTTTAATGACATGAAGGACCACACCAAAAAGTTATATTTCCACTTTTATAACAAAAAAAAAGAACTGTTTGTCATGAAAAATGCCACTTTTCTTTCTCCTTCCATTGGCTCAACAGCTGGCTCCCTGGCCTACTCCAATAACTTCCGCCAATCTGCCGCAGCATTACTCCAGTTCCTGACCCCTAGGATCGTCCGGGCATCTTTTACCATCCCATTCATCCATCTAAGATTCAGTCTTCCTTTACGCCTCATACTATGAATGGTCTCATTCATTGTTTTTTTAGGGATCTCATCCTCTGACATTCGTGCTACATGGCCAGCCCACCTCAGTCTCCCCAGCCTAATATGCTTCACAAAGTCAGGTTCACCAAGGAGATTATATATTTCTTGAGCCCCCTCCTGAGGTATGTTTAACCGACTCTTCCAGGTCCATAAATGCGCTGCAGAATTCTTCTCTCGAAAGCCAATAAACTTCGTTCATCCATCCATGATATTACCCATGACTGAGCCATACGTCAGGACCGGCCTGATATACAGCCCTAATTTTGTTGTCCTCTTACAAAAAAATTACAACTTCATACTTGCTGCTTAGATGTCTTCCTAGCCCAAAGTAACATTGGTTAGCAATGATTTTTCTCCTCTCAATTTCCTTTGTAATATCATTTCCCGCAGTTATCAGGGATCCCAATTAGACGAACTCATCCAATTTTTCAAACTCATAGAAGCCAAACTGCACATTATCTGCCAAGATACCATACTCGGAGGTCATATACTTGGTTTTTACAGTATTTACACAAAGTCCCAGTTGTCCGGCTGTTGCTTCCAGTGTAAGGAAAGTCTCACAAACTGCAGTCTGGGATCTACCAACAATATCCAGATCATCTGTATAACCAAGGATCTGAACCATTCTATTAAACACTGTGGCTTGAAGAGCAGACATGCCAACGCATCTCCCTGTCTCACACCATTCATTGAAAAACTCAGCTCTGACAATTCGCCCTGTACAGGCATCACATACAACGATTCCGCCATTGTTAATTTAACCAATCGAATAAGTTTTTCTGGGATGTTTAGTTCCCTCATCGCTTGATAAAGAGGTTCAGGTAGTACCACTTTTATGATGAAATTACATTAAATTTCAGGCCAATTTATAGCAAACCAGGTTTGAAATTTAATCTAGTTCTGTTAAAAGTAGTCAGCCAATTTTAAATCCAATTGAATTTATCTGTAAGCATCCATTTGACATAACACTTTGGATACAGTTAATTTTGAGGTTCTTTGACATGGTACATAACTAAAATATACTACCATGAAGGTCAGTTGGAAGGAAAGTGGTTTTTACCAAAAAAAAAAAAAGAAAAAAAATATTATTTAGAGGTTTTACAAACTATGCATTATAACAAGATTGAACAAGATGAAACAAAAATTACAAAATTGAGTGTGTGAATAGAAATTTAAAAGTTAAAAAAGGAATTTTAAAAATGCATGCCTAATGATTTGATATTTGATAAATCAATTACCACCAATTTTATTTATTGTTATTTTGTTAAAGCCCAGTAAATGGAGATGTTCCTGTCTATAATGCTGCTTCAAGATCTAAAGGAATTACTAATGGTGAAATGATAAAAATTTCACAACAAGTCAATTATAAATATCCCATAAATGAAATGTTATGGTACCCATTTGTGACAAGCACTAAGAGCAATTTATGTTTTAAATATCAAGCTATTCTCAAACATCTTTTACCAGCAATTATTGTGGATCAGATATTTAAAATATTAGGCAAAAAACCTATGTAAGTGTTTTTAGTTACTGGTAAAATGTATGAACTCATAATTATATATTTTTATACTCAGCAGATGATGGCTAGGGCTGCTGTCAGGAACTATTTTGTGTACAGAAAATACTTTGAGTTTTGATAATTACTTTTAATAAATACAAAATTACATTTTAGTCACCGGTTTTTAGGCATATTTTATACTGTACTTCATTAATTTTCTCTATACGTGTTCTTCAACATATTCTAAACAAATGGTTAAAACCAGTCATAAACAAGATGAACAAATACAGTTTATAGTATAATTATGTTTAAGGTGAAGGTACGTAATTCTTGTGATAATGTACTATAAATTTTATTTTGAATTATTGATAGTATTTCATGAGATAAATAATTTGATTGGATCCATCCTACTTGTAATTAAACTATTGTAATCAGAGTGGTAAGATCGAGATTCATTCCATGAGTTACAATGAAATAAATCACCCCACCCAGGCACTAGCAGATCCAGGATTTAATTTTGGGGAGCTTCAGCCCGGAAGCTTCTTTTTTCCATATATATAATGATAATTACTTTGGAAACACAGACAGATACTAACTACCTCTATGAAATGGTGTTTAAGTGATATTTGAAGTCCTATTAAATGTAATTAAACAACCAATAATAGTTTAAGACATATTTTTTACCATAAAACATGGTTACATTTTACCATTTTGGGGAGGGGGAAGGGCTTCAACTCGAAAGCCCCTCCCCCCTCCCCGTAGATCCGCTTGTGCTCCCAGGACAGGTTTGAACATGCAGCACTGGGTTCAAAGTTATTAAGGTTATTATGCTTTAGCACTTGGCCATCAGAGTCTCAAAGCGATAGGGACAACATATAACAGAACTGTCACCCTACAGGCAGCTTTTGGCCATTATAGTCGGTATTCACCCGGGCCTTTGGCTAGGTCACTTCCCAACTGTCCTTTGACCAATCATCAGGTTTAATTTTGAAGGAGCATTTTTTTCTTTTCTTTTTTTTTAAACATTAATTACTGGAACAATAATAAAATTTTAATTTTTTTCCTTGACACTATTAGCTGAAATTCAGAATTAATTAAGTAGCTGAAATTAATTAAAACATATAATACATTTTTACTGTAGTATTTAGCTTAAATCACGCATAGAAACGAAAATATAACAATGAAAAAAAAACAAATTCTATTTTAGGGAGTAGGCTTAGGCCTGAAAGTCCTCCCCTCCCGCTTGAATCCACTCTCAATGCTCTAACAGCCTGAAGATCATTAAATATAATCACTGTAAAATTTTACAATCACAGCTGAACAATCATGTACAATATTAATTATGTATATTATTTTAATTTCAATAATAAATATTAAAAAAATTATTATAATATTAATATCAATTGTAGTGATATCATTTATTTAATCTCAGCTCCTTCTCTGAAACATAAACCAACCAGCTTTCAGATGAATGAATAATTCTTGCATTGATTAATATATTAAACCAGACTCATACCTCCCAAGGGAGAGGCTTTTAGTTCTGTAAAGAATGTGAATAAAGAAATTATTACTGTTATTATTAATATATTATTTAATAAATTCTTCTTTTCTGAATTTAATCAATTCAAAATTTATATAAATATAAATAATAAATAAATTAACATAAGAGAAAATAATTTTCTTTTAATAACTTACAATAATACATATAGTAATGATTTTTGTTGTGTTTTGTCCAGAATGGATTATTTGTAAATTGTTAAGAAGTAATCATAATTAGTTAAATTTAATATCATAATGATTTTATGTATATTGAAAGTTATAAAAATAATAATCATGTTCTAGATGGACCGGTTTTTGGCCAATGAGTTATTTGAGAATTGTCGAGTATAGCCTAGAAGCTTCTATAAGTTATAAAAACCTGGTCATGCTGATAATCATAGTTTACAGGAATAAATAATTACCAGTTACAATCCCTGTGCTGAGGTACCTTTAAACTCTGACATTAATCCCCTGCCCTCATCTCCTGGCCCAGGAAAACCCCTGTATAGCCTTAAAGGCGAGGAAGGAGGGGGGGGGGGGAGGAATTTCAATAAAATTCCTGAACTGAGAAAACTCAGGTAGTTCTAATTAGTGATTCTGTTGAATGTTATCATTGACTAATCACTTTCTTTGTTTAAGGTTTCTAATAATCCGTACATATATTATTACAGTAAGGCTCGAAATTGGTTTTGTACCAGATATAAGCTCCTGTCATGCTCAAATACCATGAATGGGGTACCATTGGATTCAGAATTTCACGGAGGGTTAGCAAATCGTATTCTCCACTTTTGTTTTTCTTTCTAAAATAAATAAAGTCGATACAAACATTTTGCTAGGCTTCTATACTGGAACGGTGGTAAGTCTGTAGATTGTTATGGGACAAATTGGATCTTGAAGATTTTGATGCGTACAGCAAGACCCTGATAGTTCCTCTGGAACTATCGGATCCTGTGTTTTTAAGCCCAAAAACGTACTCTTTTCGAGATAACGCATGACATAGGGTTCCCATCCACACAAACTTACATTAATTGTAGTACTGTCATTGAATACATGTCTCATTTCATCGACTTGAGGTCTCTATGATCGAGAGAGGAGGAGTTTTTATATTTTATATATATATTATTTTATTTATCGATGGTGTTTTTGATTGGCAAACCATATCATCGTTAATTTTTCACCAAATTTCAAGATCGAGCCACCAATTTCGAAGGCTTCCTTCTCCTTCAGGTGGGATAAATGGTCCAATCACCCCGAAAATTCAGGCAAACAAGTTATGAAAGAAACTTTATTTGCGAATAACTAAAAAAATACACACTTTTCCCTGTGTTATGCCCATGATTATATGAAAGATAACTAAATTCCCTACCAAATGAAAAAAAAATCATCTTAATCGAACAATTTTTAGCAAAAATACAGCTTACTGAAATTTGTAAACATGTTGGTTCCAAACAGAAATAAAGATTTAATTTTTTTTTTTTTTTTTTTTTTTATTATTTTAATGGAATTTACAACTGTATTATATAGAAAATACAATAAGTAAATGTGAAATTGATAACATGACATGTACAACATGAGGAGAAACTACCCATTGGTAGAACTCAAATAAGATTTAAATTAATTTTTGTTTTCCTCGATTACATTTCTCGATAAAGTAACATTTGATTTCTTTATCTTTTGATACAATGCATTATTTTATTTTCTTATTAATATGGCATTTGATAACAATATGCTGTGCAAATTTTTCGCAAGGGCCTACTAGTAGTAATAATTACTAATATATTTTAAAATGCTAATATTTTTGTTATGAACTATTTTAGGCTGTTGAAAGTTCAGATAACAATTTATAATGCTATGATGGCTCTGGGTTATTTCGCTACCAAAACATGGAATTTCGCAAATGATAATTTCTTAAATCTTAGAAATGATATATTAGAAGAGGACAAAGAACAGTTCAATTATGAATTTGATGATATGACTCCTGAAGAATTCATTGAAATGGGTATAGCAAAGGGACGAATATATCTTCTTAAGGAGGATGAAAGTTTATTGCCTCAAGCCCGAAAAAAGTTGAGGAGGTAAGTTAAAGAAAAAAAAAAAAAAATGAAAGGAGCGTATTAAATGTTAAAATTTTTATATGACTCTATTTCATTTTTGGTTTATTATTTTTAATAATCAAACTTTGTTATCAATCAAGAAAAAAAAAGTTAACCTCCACTCAAAATTTGATCTTTCATGTTTCAAGATACCTACAATATGCAACTTTTCTCTGAGTCTACTGGACCGATTGTTTTATGATTTTGTATCAATGTGGAAGGGCACCCGAGGATGATCTTTGAAACTTTGCATTACCATCTGTCCTTTTCCATTATTGATTAATATTATTTTATTTATTATCTGATTATTATTATTTTAATTAAGATTTTATATTGACATTTATGTTATATATGATAAATAATTGCTGGGGTACAGTGGATAAAGTTACTTCATCCATTTCAATGCAACATTAGTCCAATCAAAGGGAATATGACAAGAAAACGTTTTATGAGTGGACTCGGGTATATTGTAATTAATGACTTGGCCATTTTGACCTCCGGTTCGCATTAATTACCATACTTTAATCATATCACATTTATAATTCAACATTAATACAAATAAATTTGATTTACTTTTAATAATAAAATATAGACGTTATAATACAAAAGTTTTTATTGTTTCTAAATGCTTTTGTGTTATTCTTTTTTGGCCAAGATTAGATTTATAAATTAATTCTGTTTTCCTTCTTTCTTTGGATTCTGTTTTTATTTGACAGAAATTTTTTTTTATATTATTTTTTCCAATTTTATTCCTAGTCAATAACTGTTTTGCCTGCTTTTTTATCTTCCATACCAATGAATCTTAAACCAGCTAAAAAGATACTAACAGAAGACATGGTTTAATACAATCCTGAACTTTCTGAGAATCTTTAAGTATCCTGAAGAGTTGTCCCAAAAGATCCAAGAGAAGGCTCATAATTAGGTTTACCATCCCTCAATCTAATAATAATTATAGTAGTAAAACAAAAAATATTTGGTGGATAATTGTTTAAATTGAATTTTAATCAGGTATTTTTGTTTTAACAGGTTGTATTGGCTTGACAGATTTACTAGCCTGTCGTTTAAGTGCTTCCTTGGTTTTGCGGCTTATAAATACTTCTTTTAAACCTTTTTTGGAAAATACTATTTAGAAAAATATTCCTGTAAATATTCATGAAACATACAGATATTAATTTTATTTTGACATATCTGCAGAAAATGTTAACTTATAATTAAAATTTAACTATTCATATGAATTAGTTTCATTGTTCCATTAAATTGTAAATAATTATTGTAAGGAAATATTATTTACATTTATTTATAGTTAATTTAAATTTGTATGACTCACATATGATGTATAGTTTTTATAGCTAGTAATTTTTTCCTTAAATAAATAAACATTTATTAAAACAATAATTAAACACTTTTTTGTAAGAGTAAAATATTGCTTATTTTTATATTAAATTTTAAATCTTCTCATCAATGAATAAAAGAAAATTACTATAGTAAAAAATAATGTTACTGTAACTCTATTTAAGTAACAATTTACCATAGATGGAAAATCTGCATGTTGCCTCCAAAGGTTATTGTGTTACATTTATTAATCTAGTGCTAGAATTAATTAATATTTTGTTATTAAGGTTGTAAACAAGTGAAGGTTGAAAATAAATAGAATTAAGTTGAATATATGTATATGGGTGTGTGAATTTAGTGATGAATAAAAATAGTAACATTTTTTTTAAATTTGATTTCTCCACCAACATTGCCTACAAGTCTTCATCGAATGTAGTGTTTAAAGTATCTTTATTTGAACGATTCAACATTTAATGTCTGAGTATTTTTGTATAAGTCTAACTTCCAACTTTAAGTAAGTTTGGTCAATGACTTTGGTCAATGATGTCATTTAACAAATTTAGATAATGTATTGGGTTCTCCAGAAAATAATGCAGGATTTCAATTTAAAAAGAAAAGAAGGAAGATTTACAACTGTTTTATTTAATCAAAATAGTTTTCACTATTATCAATACATTTCTACCAACATGTTTGCAACTTTTCCATTCCTTCTAAGTAGAATTTACCATTTTTAGAATTGATAAACTTCAAAAACGCATTTTATAATTACCTTTGTCCATTAATTTTTTTGTTTCATAAGTAATGGTCTAGGTGTCCGTATTAGGTGTCCATAAGTAATGATCGAGAAAAATGATAATCCGTAGGTAAGAAGTCTGGAGAGTAGGGCATTATGGCACAGTTTCATATACAAGCTCCTACAGGTTTTGTGACATCCCACGTGAGATATGTGGCCAGGCGTTGTCATGCAACAAAATGGGTCCCTTCCGATTGACCAAAGATGGCTTCATTATTAACAATATCTGATGCATTGCATTAATTTAGTTATAATACAATTTGGCATTGATGGTTTCTTCACGATTTTAGAAGCTGTAGTGTATCAAAACAAATGAATCCCACCAAACAGTAACCATCACCTTTTTTAAGAAATCCCCAATGAGTTGGGGGCTTTGGAAAATGTTCTGCTGCTTTTCCTTAGTTGAGCCACTGTTCAGAACATCTACTGTTATTGTAAAGTATCCAGTTTTCATCACAAGTAACAATTTTGGACAGAAAACGTCATTTTTGTTTCTTCAAAGAAGTGTAGCACACACATCACAACGCTGGTTTTTTTTTACTGTCATTTAATGTGTTTGGAACCCAACTTTCAAGCTTTTTTACCTTTCCAATCGCCTTGAGGTGGTCATGGGCGATCAATTTGCTAAGATTAAGTTTTCCTTCAAATTCTCAAACAAGTGTTCTGGGGTTTTCTTCCCCCAAAGCCTGCAGAACATTGTCATCAAGAGAGGAAGTCCTTCCACAACCTTTGTCTTCAAGGCTGAAGTCTCTCTCCCGAATTTTTTTGAGCCACCTTTGAACAGTGCACACTGTTTTTGCCCCAGACTTAATTGATGTTTCTGTCCTTCTGGGCCCCATTCCAGCTTAAACTCATAAAACAAAATCCCGTGTTGACATTATAGTTAAGACTGAATTATTTCTAAGCAGTGAAATACTACAGAAGTAAACAAACATTATCGTTTGGAAGAGGATCAATAAGTGTTGACATTCATACAAATGAATAATCCAGTAAACGTAAACAGTTTGTTATATAGAGGAGTATTTTAAAGAAAACTAAAAATCCTGCATTATTTTCCAGACAAGCCAGTAGTATTATAAATTATTCTCACCCAAAAATACTGGTGCATTAAATGCTGATGAGGGAGTACAGTAAGTCTGAAGCGTACAAATAAAAAGAATTTGAACTCTATTGAGTTTTTATTTTTAATGTGAATTGTATGAGAAAAGTTGTAGGAGAAATATGAAATAATGGTATTTATTACTTGTGGAATAAAATTATGTTGCTTTAGCAACAAATAGTGAAAACTTTTGGATAAGTTCTAGAGCAACATTCTTTCCCTCCTCCCCAACATCTTTGGGAATAGATCATCCTGAATGTAGGGTTTCCTATTATCGAGCAAGGACATAGAATTAGTCCTCTTGTTTACACAAGTCATTTATGTTAAAGAAGTGATCCTTTTATCAAATTTGGCTCACTCATCCTATCAATAAACCCATCCAGTTCACACAGTAATAAAGAGGAAGGAAATCCTATTGTGTAAAGAAGTAATAACAAAAGAGCGATATTAAAATTTATCAATAAAGTAATTTATTTACAATAACTTGACTAAAAAAATACAGAAGAAATAATCTAACAATTAATAAAATTCTAAAAACACAAAATCAAAAATAAAACAATTTTCTTAAGTTTATTATACAAACTATTTCATTACTTTAACATCACATTGAGCCTAAGGTAAATAATATAAAATAGTCTAAAATTTCAAATTATTAATTTTTACCTGAGAACATTAAATTTACCTAGACCTAACACTTATATTGTACTACTTTACTCAGATATCTAAACTAATCAATTAGAAACTCATTTATCACTCTTTACAATTAACTATAATTATAACAATAACTTAAATATTCTTTCAATAAAATTTAAATTCCTTTCATATAATTTAGAGAATAATAAATCACAGTGATATTTACATTATTTTTCAGTTGTGATGTATAATAGTGTGATGAATAATACTTGTGGCCACAATGAATAAATTAATATTTCTGAAGTATTTTCATTACTTTTTTGTACAGGAGGTTCATGGCATCAGTTGCAAAAAGGAAATCCATATGATTGAAAGCCGGAAAAGGAACTTTGTAAACCATAACTAAGTTTGGCATTCTTTTGGCAAGTTTATCAATATCCTGTAAACATTAATATTTTTAATTCAAGAACTGCTCAATAAAATAAATAATAGCTATATAATTGATTTATAGTAACATAATCATCACTTTTTTTATATGTACATTGAAATCTTGTAAAGATAAAAATTATCAGCCACGGAGATTAATTTATTTGTGTTTTTTACGTTTAATTAATTTCATACTTCGTTATACCTTACTTTGTTAAATAAGTTTTTATTATTGATATTTGTATATTATTTTATATTATTCTAATTATTATTTTTATATTTTATAATAAATAAAAATCTGTAATCTTTATTCATTCCTCTATAGCAGGGGTCAGTCAGCAAGTATCTTCAATCCGGCCCGAGTTTCTTTGATAAGATTGCAAAAATTGAAAAACTATTTTAAAATATGAAATTTAGCAAATTACTCACACAAATTATATCACAATGTAATAGGCAAACACAAAACGGTATAGCCCCTGTTTCATCTCTATTATCCAACCGATTTTCTTGCTTTTTTTTGTTTAATAGATATTGACAAGCTTTAGTGTAAAAAATAAATAAAAATATGAAATAGTTTGTAAATAAAAATATAAACGGTAATTTGTTCAAAACACCTAATCTCCAAAAGTTTTTCACCGATTTCTTTGAAATTTTGACACAATGTTGCAATACTATTAAAATTGTTTTTGTATACGTTTCATTATCATCAGGCCTTTCCTTTCGAAATGGCGGCTGAAAAATGTGATTCTCTTTAGACTGTACCCCCAATACTGCTTCCACGATTTTAATGATGCTTGGATAAAGTCTTCCCTTAGAAACATTTATAATTTATCTATATAACATACTTTCCTGAAAACAACCCGTATAAATTTTTACGTTGAATTCAGTATTTTAGTTCTGGACAACTCAAAAAGTATAATTTTTTTGTTGATAATACTAATATTTATTTGAAGGCTTCATGAATTCCTTACAAAGTAAAAAAAAAAAAAATCATCGAAATTGGACTATTTGTTGCAGAGATTTATGATAAATCAAAAACATTACATTTAATGAAGTAATTGTGACTATTATTTAAAGAGCTGATATTTAATTTTAGTGGAATTTTACCTCATAAATTAAATTTAAAAATAAATTCTATAGTTATACTCATTCCTAACTTAAATACTGCACAAGCAGTTATGAGAGTTAATGGAGCACGAATGAGAGTGAAGTACTAACAGGAGCTACTTTAAATAAAAAAATTTTAATTCCAAGAATTAATTTAATATTTTCTGACACAATACTTCCATTCAAAGAACAACGTTCTTATTAATAGCTGCATTTGCTATGACCATAATCAAATTGCAGGGTCAAAGTTTTGGAAAAATTTGTATATTATTGTGTCCAGTGATTTCGCATGGACAATTATATGTGGCAGCAAGTGGAGCATGTTCATTTAAAATTTTGAAATTTATATATCCAATGGCAATGGGCAAGGAAGGCTATGTACTAAACAATAACAGAACATTAAAAAAGAACAATGTTTACAGAGAAGTTCTGCATAAAAATAGATTTAAACTGAATTGAAATTGCTAATTAAAATTTATTTTTTACTTGCTTAATCATAATATTAATTTTTTGTGACAATAACACACATAAATTAAAATGAAAATTAAATATTTTGAATGAGTCTATTTTGTATTACTTATAAATAATTTTAAATAGTTTATGCTCGAAATTGTTACTTGTTGTTACTTGAAATTGAAATTTTGTTTTTATAAATGCATGAGGATTTTTGAATCATGATTTACTCTTTATTCACTAAATTTATTTTTTAATTAATTATATGTTTTCCTCAAGTTTTAATGGCTATGGTTGAATTTCGACCACTGTGGGAACACAAATATTTATAATACAATAATTAATATATTGTATTCAAGGAGAAAATGTCCAGATCGAAAAATAACTGCTGTCATCTAGTTAAAATCAAACTGTCATCTCCAGATGAATACCATTTTCCCTATATATTTTTTGTCTACAATCTTTATTTTTTATTAGGAGGTCTCAGGAGCTCAAAACTGTAACGATGACACCAGGATGTAAATCTCTATTTTGAATTAGGATAGTAGGAGGTTACAGGAGCTTAACCCATAAGTAATTAAATGAACAGCTGTATAATTAGAGATTACTATTGAACTAAAAGGAGAACTCCTATAATCTTCTACTCTCCTAATACTAAAATTAAATAATTAAGTAAATTATGAAAGTTACTAAAAACGTTTTTATGTAATAAAAAGACTTAAATTATTACCGCCTAATAGTTTTTAAGGAAAAACTAAGATTTTAGTTATTTATAATAAAAAAATTTGATTTGATAGTCTTTTTTAATAGTTTATTGCTATAATTGTCTGGTTGACACAAATCAGTTAGCCCTAAATCAATTATTAAATAAGTAACCATTCACAGATTTTGTGATGTTATGCTTACAGTAGGAACAGCAAGTAAATCGTTAGCACCAGTGAAAAATGCTGATGGTGCTGTAATTTTTTCGATATCATAGCGTGGTGGTAATTTCTCCCTGTAAATGCGTTTATTATCTGCAGGTCCATAATCAAACATTCGAAAATCCCCTAGAAAATAAGGATAATATGCTATTTAAAAATCATATAATATAAAATATCTTATAATCTAACAAAAGATAAATGATTTTACTATGTAAGAAAAATATTAGAATTTAATTTATTGTAGGTTTTAAGTATTTCCCCTCTTTTGGAATGATTGCTATCTTCAGACTTTCCTAAAAGTTGGTCATCTGCAACAGTAATCCCTATACTGAAGTCCAATAAAGATCCAAAACTCGTACAAAATTATAGGCCCATCTCTCTTACGTCAGTTCTCTGCAAAGTGACCGAAAAAATAATTAACCGCCTTTTATGGGAATTAGAGACAAGGCATCTACTAGACAGCGAACAATGTGTATTCCGTTATACTAAATCAACAATGCACAATCTTTTTAAATTTGATTCCTTTATAAAATCTTCGTTTACTAGAAATCAGCATGTTTTCGCAGTTTTCTTAGACCTGGAAAGTGCATTTGACTCATGCTGGAGAAACAAAATTCTAAAATCGCTTCAGGAATGGGGATTCTCGGGCAATATTCTGTTTTTTGTACAAAACTTTCTCAATAATCGGAATTTCAACGTTCGTGCTGGCTCGACTTTTTCAAACAAATTCGAACTACACAACGGTGTTCCGCAAGGATCTGTTCTAAGCCCAACCCTATTCAACATTGCCATTAACGATATCAAATCGTTCATACCAAAACCTGTGAATGTTGCACTATACGCTGACGACGTCCTGATTTATTACAGCTCTACCGATGTAGACTTTGGGCAATATGTTATACAAGAGTCCCTCAACAGCCTTGAAACATGGGCCGCTAGTTGTGGCTTCAGGTTTAGTCTTTCTAAATCCACTGCTATCCACTTTTGTCGAATTCGTAGATGTACCCAACCACTTACAGCACATATTGGAAATCGACCTTTGAACAAATACGATTCAATTCGACATCTAGGAGTAATGTTGGACTCAAGACTGACGTGGAAACTACAAATCGAAACACTACTGTCCAAATTGTCAAAGAAGTGCAATTTAATAATACTTTCCGGTACTACTTACGGCTGCGATAGAACTTCCTTGCTGAGGTTATAAAGATGTCTAATAAGGCCGATTATTGACTACGGATGCAAAGTATACGGGGATGCCTCATAGAGAATATTAAACAAGCTAGATCCAGTACACCATTCAATGATCCGTCGAGCAACCGGAACCTTCAGGACTAGCCCTATTAACAGTCTACTTTGGGAGGCTGATGAATGGCCGCTAGAACTACGCAGACACTTTCTTTTGTTAAAGTTTTTAGGACGCTTAAAAGTAACTACAGACTTCTTTGACTTCTCGACGTATAAATTACCAACTCGCCTTGCCAACTACCAGCCACTAATCAATACGTACATACTTCCAAAGCTGTTCAAATCAAACGTAAACCCTTTACCTCCTTGGACAAATAGTAGAACACTTTTCGATTTTTCATTAAAAAACAAAAAAAAGTTAAATAGCCCACCAGTAGCACTAAAACAACTCTTCTTAGCTCATATAAATAACTACAAAAAGTACACATGCATTTATGCCGATGGGTCGAAAAAATCAGAACATGTTGGATGTTCCGTTGTTCTACCTACGGAGACCATCCGCTACTCTCTACCCTCCATTTATTCAGTCCTATCCTCCGAGCTCTTTGCCATATATTTAGCGTTAGATATAATAATCAACGAAATTAAAAATGACCACATTTTAATTATTAGTGATTCCTACTCAGCCCTCAAACTAATAGAAAACTTTCAATCATGTAACAACCCCATTGTCTTCCAAATTACACAAATTATTCAAATTACAAAAAAAACGATAACATTTTTGTGGGTCCCCAGTCACATAGGAATACCAGGCAATGAACTGGCTGATAGAGCCGCAGCATCCACCATACTTCTAGCACCAGACAATAAAATAGCTCTCTACGATTACAATAACGCAATTTTGAACCAGTGTAGAGAGGCCTGGCGATATTGTTGGGCAAAGGTTCCTATTACAAACAAAATGAAAAGAATGTTTCATGACATGAATCCACTTCCAGAGATTCAAGGAAACCGACGGGAGCAGACCATCATCACACGCCTCAGAATAGGGCACACCAGGCTCACGCATGGGCACCTACTTGACGGAAGTTCGCCACCAAGATGTCGCAGCTTTAACAATGTTTCACTTCTTGGAAAATTGTCCGAGCTTAGATTCATCAAGGACCTCATATCTGCAGTTAGGATATCGACAAGCCCTACAACCTGGAAATCAGAAACTCCTACTCCAATTTTTAAAAAAACACAATTACTACAGACATATTTAAACAATATCATCCTCATAAACGAATTCACAACGTAAATTAGAAATAACCTATTCAGTTGTAACAACACGTTCTTTAAACAAAAATACTAACAACATACACATCCAAAATTTTACATACATAAGACATATTGAAATGTAAATCAACAATCAAGATGGTGCCTCTAACCTATAAAGTTGCACACGGCACCTAAAATATAACCAAATAAATAAATATCTTGAGATACTTTTTATTTAGTATTTAGTTCATTTAATTACCTTCAGTTAACACCCTGTCATAATTGTTTGATTAATTGACAAAATATAGGCACCACTTATGTTTTTTCCAAAATAAATAAGTTAATAATCAAATAAGTTTGATTGAGCTTGTCACAGCTCACATTCTTGGATATAAAGAATATTCTAGACATTTGTTTCTTGTTAATGTAATAGTAAATTGTTTCCTCATATGATAGTTGGATGAGATTTCTTATTAATTAGTTTTAAAATCTCCTTTTTAATCAGATGAGAATAAATAGAAAAAATCGCTAATGGATTATATAAATTGAAATAGAATATATAAATTTTGTGTCATATGTGTAATAATATATATGTGTACACTTAATTAGTATTATTTCTAAAATAGTTTACCCGTTTGCATGCTTTGTCCATAATGTACCAGACTAGCAGTTGAAGTTCCTGCTGGTAAATGACCGAATATTACTGGCAGAAGTGTCTAAATAAAATAATCACAAATTACATCACAGAATAGAAAACAAACAAAGAAAATTTAGGAGAATCTATGCAAGTTATTTATATTAATAATTATTTAAAATTAAGTTTATATTTTAATAAGTTATATTTATGAAATATGATATATGAATGATGATGTTTAATTACCATTGCTTAAATAACTAAATGTCATTGAGATCAAAATTAGATGTTATTTATTTTTAAAAGAGATATAGATCACTATCATATAATATAGATTTAATAGAATCATTTATTGATCATTAGTTAGGCAGAATACTGATTCTAAATTTTTCTTTTAAACATTAATAGAAATACTAATGTAAAGCATAAAAAATATTTTGAAATTGTTAACCATAAACTAAAAGAGTAAAATTGATTAAACAATTGATGCTCATACCTGATTAAGCTGTTCAGAATCGTAACCTGCAATAAGAAATAAAGCATTGGAACACAAAGCTCCAAAAGTTGATTGCCACTTACAAAGTTCCCTGTTCAATTTTGTAATAAGGTAATTATGTGGTATGAACTCATTAAAACCCATTTTCATTAATGCATACTGCAACAAATATCAAGAAATTGAATAAAATGATAAGTATTTCTCATGGGTTTCTATATATATATTTTTATTTTTTTATTTCAGGTTATATCATTACTACATGGCTTTCTAAAGAATTTCTAATTTAGCAATTATTAAATATTTGAATAATTTTGTCTGTGGGAGTAAAACTTCTTTACAATTTTGTATTACATTAACCACTTCCTAAATATTAGGGATTAACGAGCAGTAGATATTGCTACAAATTATAGATAAAGCTATAACAACCGATTAACCTCAGTAATATTGAAAACAAAAAATTATCACTTTAATGTCATAATTCTGATTCCCATTTTACCAGTTTGTAAATACTAAATATTGAATATTTCAGTGTTATAAAAGTTTTAAAACTGATTCAAAATCATTTTCAACATGACAATTTTTTATTCTTTTAAATTCATTTATAGAAATTTACAACTGTATAGGGACAATTATTTATTCTGGGTTTCCAAAGCATTTGTAAAATAATTAAACCATTTTATTAGTATAAATTATAAAGCAATAAAGAATGTATAACCAAAATATATATACAGGTATACCTAGGCGCAAACTTCAGGGGAGAGGGAGAGAGATGTGGGCGGTGATGGCTCCCCCAATAAAAAAAGAAAGGGGCGAAAATATTACTTTGCCTCTACCCTCCAATATTTTGAAGAACAATAATAAAACAAAATCAATAACAATTAATATACATGAATGAATAAAATATGTAAACTGAAATGAATTAAGAAAACAGAAAAAATCAATTAGACGGCTAAGATAAGACCTAGAAGTAAGTATGTAAGTATATACCACGCCCTATGTTTCTATTATTGAAATTTTAATTTATATTCAAAGATAATTATATGCAGCACCATATCCTAGGATTTTATTATTCATACAAGTACACCCTTCCATTTTTATGTGAAGATTTTATCATATTTCCTGCAGCACTTAGAACATTGAAGAATTGAGAGTTCCCCTCACTGACTGAAACCTTTTAATAAAAATAAAAATATGTCATATATTCTATTGCTTTGTTAAAATATTCTCAAATATACCCATAAAAAAAACAACAAAAAAGACTAATATATAAAAATTTACTTTTATATATAGTATTCTGTTATTCATTTTACAGTACTTAAATGGATTATGTTAATTATCACTCATAATTTTTATACAAAATATGAACTCCCAAAAAAATTTTTTGGGTTCATCGCCTCCTAATCAAAATGGAAAGTCTGTGCCTATGCATGTATATTTTTTCAATTTTTAAAGTATTTATTAATTTTAAAAGTAAACTCATAATTTATTATAATTTCTATTTATTTATTTTTTTGTTTTACTTTCAGGTTCCACTCAACATGTTTTATTGTACCTAATTGTAAAATGACCTACCCCAGAATAAATAAATTAAGTGTTATCATTATACATGTATATTGTTATTACTTGTATTAAAATTAAAAGTGCAATTAATAAAGGTGGACAAACATCAAATATAATGATATGAAGATATAAGAAAACATGTGTTAGCACTCTTATAATCGTTCCACATTCATAAGGTACCATGGCCATCTTCTTTTCAGACATATTGTAGGATTATCAGAACCAAAAAAGTGGGCTCAGGTGGTTCTGGAGTTTATTGTGAAAGATTAAGTGTCTCGTTTGGGCCAAAGTGGTTACATATTGTCCATTATTCCAGATAGTGTCAATATGCACACTGTTAAAAACTAAAAGTTGTAATAAAATTAAAAAAAAAAAAAACAACTATGAATTACATTCTGACCATATATATTACATGTTGTTTCAATAAGTTGTTCAAGAATATGTTTATTTAATAAAATAAAAAAGAATTAAGAAAGCGATAATGTGAACGAATGACATATTAGGATAAGTCATAAACATCCATATAGAAAATAAAAATACTAGAAAAAATAATATCAAAAGCTGAAAAATTTGTGAACAAAAGTAATATATATATATACATGAATCGAAATACTTTTTGAAATAGGGTGAAAAATAATAAGTTTATAGAGATATGAAGTTTTCTGGAGTATGTGTGATATCCTAAAATTAACTAAATGATCCTTCATTAAAGTACAGGCAATCAAAACATTGTAATTTAACTTGTAATGAAAAGTTGGTGACTAAATGACAGGCATGCAAATCCCACGTTTTTCTCATTTTTTTTGAAGGATTGCTTATAAAGTTTTCAACAAGCAACTACAAATTTGGCAAGTATCAAACTGCAAATTTTTTAAGATGAATACAAAAAAGAAATTTTTAAATGTTTTATCTGTTCCATACTGTCAAGTGTCATTTATAGGAAAACATTTTTTTATTCATCACAAACCATGGTCCACGGTGCTTGTTTGGAAGTCTCAATGCAGCCCACGGAACTCAGTCGAGGTCTCAATGTGCCCCGTGGGCCAAAAAGTTTAGAGACCCCTGATTTAATGGAATCCTAAAGCTCAACTTCATGACTACAATAAGGATTTATTATAGTTATCTAAATCAGCCTTTTGCAAATAATTGGAAGCTTAAAGTATAGTAAGTACTGAAGTAAACCAAAATGTTGAGGTGTTTCTTGTTGTTTTAGTTTTGAATTAGAATCAAGGTAAGACATTTTTCCAGGTGGAGTTCTAAGAAGCAAATCTCTTCAATAGAGATAGGTGCAGTGTTATTAAAAGGAAAGGAAGAATTCAAAAGCAGGTTTAACACTATTCTTCAAGATTTGTGATGTGTAGTTTAAGAGAGAAAAATAAAATAATGATAGTAACCTATCAAGTCAGGATCAGTTATGAAATTTGTTAGGTGCCTTAAAATTGTAACAATTACTGAACTTAAAAGTTTAAGAATATCTTATTAGTCAATATATTGATTTGATTCTGGAAATTATTTATGAACAAGAGCAAAAGTAACATTGAAAATTTTAAATTCAATTGATTTTAACCTATTAATTGATAACAAAATCATTATGTAATCTCTTCTCAGAAATCTCTGTGTTTATTAAATAATTATTTTTGCTGCGTATGATTTTGAAAAGATGCAAAGAAAAAGGTTGAAAAGATAGTTGAGAATAAAACAAGGTTTCTTATTTGTGTATTATTTCATCAATGACTGCCCCCTCCAATGATGTATAATTTTTAAACTAGATACAAGTTGAAAAATTTTTCTTCATACAATTTTTCATACTGTAAATATACTTTCAATATTTAAAAAGTAAATAAATCTATTGATCTTGCTCTGTTGAACTGTTTTTCTAAAATACAAGGGTAAACATAATATCATAGTATACATATAATACTTACTCCAAGAGGACCATAAAGTATTCGGAATACAGTACTTCTTATGTGAGACATGTAGGCTACTGGTGATAATGATACAAATAGGTTTATCCTGTAATTATACTCTGGTCTTACAGACAACAACACATACATCATAGTGGTCCCCATGGAGTGGCCAATATAGTAGAGCTTAGGATTACCAGTTACATCATGTATATAGTCAAACTCTGTAGGCAAGTCATAAACACCCATCTCATGCCAGCTATAAAATATGAAATTAGGCTATTCATTTAATTTAAAACAGGCATGTACAGAGACCATAAAAATGTCTCCTCTGCTTATAATTTTAGAATTATGATTATTAATGATTACCTAAATGCCCAGTATCGTGGATCATTTGTTGATAGAGCGACATGTTCCCTTGAGTATATGTTTCCTCTTGAATTTCCCATCCATACATCATAACCCTCATCTGCTAAAACAAATGCTGGAAATTTGAAATATATGGTTAATTCCTCAATAATTAAAAGCAATGGGTACATTAAATAAAGTAGAAAAGTAGATAAGTCTAAACTGATCAAGTCTGAGAAATCTATAAAAAAAAATTAGAAAAAACTGTTTGTTCTTCTATTTCATAATTAAATTACTTCATTCTCTCAAAAGATATAGCATTTTCTGTAAGGATTAGATTATTTTTGCTCACAAGCAATGGTAGGCTTTACTGAAAAACTCATTAGATTCAGTTAAGAGAAGAGATTTCCTCCAATAAAGTACATTAAATTCTTTTCCTCAAACAAGTAAAGGAGAACCCCTTGAAAGCTGTTGCAATCTCTGGACTAGCAAAAGGACTAGAAAGGGAAATAAGTCTGGAGGGACACTCCTTTTGTAGGAGGGAAGGGGGGAGCGAAGATAAATGTAGAAAAAGGGTCAGTGCACAGAACTCATTGAATACATTTTTTTTTTTTTTTTTGTTTGGAAATTAATAAATATGAGTGAATAGATCCTCACCACTGACAAGGAGAGGGAGGGAAGAGACAATGATGGGAAAGCATCCAAAGAATTAAATTCCAAAAAAGATCACTACTATTTATTTTGTGATCTTTCATCACTATTATAGAAATTTTGATTATAGTTAAAATTGTATTACTTTAAGATGATTGTATAGCCATAATTTTATTAATATACTTATAAAACTGTACCCTGAATTTGTTATACACCTACTCTTTATTCTAAAATTGTATATATTAATAAATAGAAAATTTCTATTGTTCATCTAACATTTTTTATTTGAAGACATTCATAGCTATTTCATTTTATACATATTGTTCATAAAAAGCTATCAATTATAGAGTACACTAATAAATCCAGCATAAAAATTTAAAAATAATTTGTTGTAATATCTTCATGGATGGAGAAAATCATAATGAAACAGGTTCATTAACCAATTCATTTGGCTAGTTTTTATTTCAAGAATTTATCCAATTAAAAAGTGTGAGCAAAAGTTACCTTTATATTCATAGCAGTTTTGTTTATGATTATTATCAATATCAATGTATATTTCTATTCCTTTTTCATTTTTTGTTACTCTTAATAGATTTTTTTTAAATTATAAGGTAAGGATATAAATTGTTGGAATATGTGATGTAGCTTTACACATCACATAAAGACGTACACATCAAATAAACATCTAATAACAAAAATATAACCAGAAACTTATTATAAAAAAAACAACAAATGACCAAGAAACAAAAACCAAGAAACACTACAATAAAGAACCCTCCACAACAATTCATAACTATATTTTTTGAAAAAAAAAATTAACAAACAAGAACAATCAAGACAACATTTCACAAACAAACAAAATGAACTTTAATTTCTGCTACAAAATGACGTACATACCTGAAGTTACAAAAAAAATTAAGGACCTGTTTAAAAATTATGACATACCAGAGATCATGCTTGGGCAATTTAATAATTAAAAACTGGGCAGGTACGTTACCAATACAAAAGACAGAATAGACTTATTAGACAAGAAAAATATAATTTACAAATTAAATTGTCAAAACTGTCCCAAAATCTACATTGGGGATACATCCAAACAATTAGGGATCAGAATTTTACAACACATTACCAACTGCAAAAATACAAAAAACATAAACGCCTCAGCTTTAGCACAACACAGCATAAAATTACAACACAAATTGAATTTCAATAATCTACAGATATTAGGGACAGAACCAAAAACAACAATAGAAAATTACTTGAAGCCATACACAGCACGAAAAACAATAGAACAACAGTAAATTACAAAACAGACACAGAACATTTGGGTACACATTATGGTGATATATTAAATAAAATTAAAATATAGTAAAAATGAAATACAGCTACATAACAAATAATCATTTAACAACAATAGTAAAAAAACAAACAAATAATCATACCTAAAGGTCAATAGTATCCCCATAGCAGTCACCCAATTATTGGTCTATAGAATGTTGATGCTCTGGATAATATATACTATAATTTATCTATAACATAAATTTAAATATGACAGGGGAGCACATCAGACTTAAGGTAATTACAAAATTAATGTAACAACGCAACTCTAACATATATTATTTTTTAATGTTGTGTCATGTGTCATGGGATTGTAAGTTCTGAAGATGAAGCAAATTTCCCGAAACGTTAACCTGTAGATTCAACAAATAAAACAATTGTAGTATATTTGGAAGTCATTATTGCCAAAAAACAGAGAATATCATACAATTTCTCAACAAAAAGAACCCCAAAAGATATTAAGGTTTAGTACGATATTGTTTTTAACCCTGCAAGAAGCCAACAACAAGAATGGAAAACTTGTTATCAATAACAAAAAAAAAAATAAATAAAAATTAATACGAACCAAGTGCTTTTCCTGGTCCATTGATGACGAAAACCGCTGAACTGCAGAGGATGCAATGCTGCAGGAAGACCACTTTCTTTGGCTTCTTAGTGTTGTTGAACTTGGAGCAAGGAATCCTATGCATAGTGAGAACATATCCATCACTGGTGGTAACATTGTGAGCTTCTGCTGGGTAACCGTAATTGCGTACGATCTCCAACTGTAATGGAAACCATATCCAGAATTATTTAACATTTACTATTAACTTATTACAATAGAATAGTTACAGTAGGTACATTAGCCGTGCCAAAATGATACCGGACGATCATCTTGGGAATTTTTTTATTTGCGGCAGAAAAAATCATGCCCTTAATTTTTTTTTAAAAAGAAAACAAACAGCGAAAAAGCCTTATGTTTAAACGACTAAACAATCTCTAACTTTTTAAAAAGTAAAAGATGGTTGTATTAACAATTGATATAGTTACCAAGAATTATACTTGATAAAATTATACCTATGAATAACAATTATAATTTTTAAAAAATAATTATAAAAATTACTTTAATTTAATACGGTAAGGGCTAAAGGCAGCGGCTCGGACTTGCGGATTATTCGAGACCAGCGGCCGCATGGCAATGAGACATTACCATGACCCTGGCTCAGCTCTGGCTGGCAAGGTTTGGCTAGGTCAAGAGCGACAGAGTCGCGGGGCGGTCGGTCAGTTCATTCTAATTGACGTTTCTCAGGATCATTCCTCTATTCTGAGGATAACCAAAAGCTGTATACGGCTTGGAGTGCAGCAATCATTTCAGATACTATAAAATGATTTGATGAAGTCGATGAACAAACTGCATTACTAGAAAACATTATAAACTACAGAAAGTTTAACCAAAATTTAAAATTTGGTTGAAACCACAGTCCGTGGAATAAAAACGAACGTTTTTAATAGGCTTTTTAAAAATAATGACCGTTTCATCAAATTCAAGATTTCAAAGGACTGTAAATATTTTAACCCTACTTAATACTTAATAATCCCTTTAGAGTATTCTGTAATCAAATACTTCAAAAAAAGCCTCAGTTTAGTTATTTGTTTCAAAGAAGAAGCATGATAGTGTTATTCGAAATTCTCGTAATTTTAAGGCATTACTGGAAAAACAGTTCACAGCCGCTGAAGCAACTCGTGAAATTATTAAATGTGAAGGAGAAGGTGTCCTTGACCAACGCTTTGCGCGGTGTTGGTTTGAAAAATTAAGGAGTGCAGATACGTCGTTGGAAAGGAAGAAGGGCTCCGGGCGACCATTAATAGACATTGATGAAGTTCTGGAGGGAACTGTTGATTCAAATCCGTCCACAAGTACTCGCGAACTTGCCAGGGAGTGTGTTGTGTCGAAAGATACTGTTAGTCGCCATCTAATCTCCATGGGGAAGGTGAAAAAGAGCAGCAGACTGGTCCCTCACGAACTTACTCCTCAGCAATCAACTAAGCGGTTAGAAATTTGTGAACATTTATTGTCAAACCCTCCTGATATGAGATTTTACCAGAAGATTGTCACCTGTGATGAAAAGTGGATTTACTGGAGATATCCGAATACCCGTGAGCAATGACTAGTCAAACTGTTTTTTCGGTTACTGCAACGGGACAATTTGAAAAAAAATCCATACTTGCCTTTTTTTTTGTAATTTTGAAGGACATTAGCTCTTTCACGAATTTGTTCCTGATAAATGCTATATGAATTCTGAATTCTACCACGGACAGCTGAAAAGATTGTACGCAGAACTGTCAGAGCGTTATCCTACTTTGATCAACCGAAATGGAATTTTATTCCAAAAAGATAATGCTCGTCCTCACACTTTCCGTCGAACCAAAGAACTTCATGGGGTCGAACTCCTGTCTCATCCAGCATATAGTCCAGACCTCGCACCATCGGATTACTACTCATTTAGATCCATGGCTCATTTCCTTCAAGGGATAAAAATTAATAAAGTAAATTGCGGTTCAAGAGTTCTTTGATAGCCATACCAAAGAATGGTATCAGCATGTAATTGAGCAATTGGCAAGCAGATGGCTAATGACGGTAGATAACAATGGACTATACGTTGAGTATTAATTATTTTTTATACCAAATAAATAATAATACAAATATTTGATTGAAAAACGGTAATTTTTTTAATACAGCCTATTATTTTTGCTACCAGTTTTTAACAGATCTTAACATTTCAGAGTTCCATTCAGGGATAACTCGGATTCATCCGAAAAACGCATCTCCAGTGATTTGTCTTGCAGTGTTACGATTATCTCGCGAACGATTGGGCCGCTTTTGCTGCTTCGCTTTTTTTTTATTAAGTAGGTATTCGGCCGGCTGCGACAATAAAACCTGCGAATATGGATTACGCAATAAGAAAACGACAGTTCATCGTATAGACTTTAACGGCGAAACATCTCTAACGATTTTGTCGAAACTTTACTATATTCTTCTATTTTAAGCTATTTTTCATATATCAGGGAAAAATTTGTTTGGTAATAACTCAAAAAGTATACATTTTAAGATAAGATTTATATTAATCTTTTGAAAAGCAACTAAATTCCCTACAAAACATAAATACATATTCTAAATCTTACCACTATTATCAAAATTACAGCGTTTTGAAATTTGGACACGGGTTTTTAATGTACCTACTTGTTATGTTCTTCCATCATTAGATGATGGTTCCCATACCCAATCCCTGGATTAAGTACTTTAGTTTATCAAAGGGAGCGTACTTTAATCATCATTCTGAACATTCCAGCAGGTTATTTTATTGATGATTAAACTGTATTTAAAGTTAACCTTTAGTATATTGAATTAGAATTAAATAAAAATCAAATATTAATACAACGTTAGGACCAATTCGAGCGTACACACGATAAATGCTTTTTGAGTTTGACTGTAAGTGCCACTAAGTGCTACCAAAACATGAAAGGGCATTTTGTTTGTTTTCTTTCACTTTTTAGGTCAAATCAACACTGATAAAGTCAACTGTATCAAGTTTATCCGCCATTTTTTTATATTTGTTAATGCTGATATAGTTTTTCTTTTTAACCGACAAATTTAAAGTAGTTTGAATTGGTATGAAATCGATAGCAAAGTCGAGAATGGTAATTTGTGATAAAAAATAATTTTTCCGGATCTATAACTTAAAATGGACTTAATGAAGGTGAAACATTTCTACAAAGGCAGATATTTAAATTTTTACCCAATCATATTCCTCTAAATGAGAATTTTAAACTAAGGATGCTTGTTGTGTTGTTCTATCTCCACCATTTACTGGAAGTTTCATTTTGATACATAGCGGTGCACAACCGAAGACATCACTATTATCAATACATAAAAAGTGATATTATTCAAATTTTAATACTTCCATCTGTTACCCCTGGCGTACATCAAAGCTTTCTTTAAATTAATGAATTTATAAGAGTGAGAAGTTTCATTACAGTTTATTACCTCCCAAGGTAATAACACTTAAATAATGGTCACGGCAACTAAAGAAGTGGTCGATCTCAAATTCAACAAAAATGTTGATTTGATCCGATTACATGCCAAATCGGGCAATTTAATTTTTGAGTTTTTATTATAATCATGATTTTCGTCGAAAGGTTGTGATAACAATGTATTAAGAAGGTACATTAGAAATTATTTAGTGAAAAACAAAATATTCAGTAATTGGATGATTTCCAACATTAATTTTTTTTTTTTTTTTTATCATTTTACAGATTCATAGTCAATGTTTTAGATTTATAATATTTATCATTAGATTTACGTTTACTCTCTTTATATCTGTCATTTCAAAATGTTTTGAAAATTACGTGACTGGGCATGGTATGGTAGAATTTCAATGGCGACAACCATGGAGCAACCAGCCAATGTGCTGACTAGGCAAACTAGAATCTTGTATTGTTAGGGACAAAGGCTACATTTCGGCATTTCTTCCTGTCATCCAATGACTGGTACTTTATATTGAAACAAGGATCTTTCATCTCGCTTCTTTTCAATATGAAACTGTAATCGCGATATGTAGGTTAGGAGCATAGTAAATGTTTAAGTGCACTGTTTACGCATAAACTAAAAAAAATAATATTAATGGAGAAAATGTTTAAAATGATATCCCATTAATATTTCTTTTTTTTTAAAGATCCATTTTAGAATTTTAGTTAAATTAAACAACAGACTTTTGATTTTAAAATTTTTATTTTTTTATTATTTTAATGGAATTTACAACTGTATTACATAGAGAATACAATAAGTAAATGAGAAATTTGTAACATGGCATGTACAACATGAAGAGAAACTTCATTGGTAGAACTCAAACTAAAGTTCTATATTAGAAGATCCCGAGGCCATCTTCTTTTCAGACGCCTCGGAGGGTTATCAGGGATCGAGGAGAAAGCAAGGTTTGAAACAAGAGGATTCGGATGGTTCTGCAGTTTGTTATGGAAGGAAAGGTATCTGGATTGGGCCTGATCGGAAACATATGGAACATTAAGGTCTTTATGGATGATTTTATTTGTGACAAAGTAAGGAGCGTTGAGGATTTTACGAAGGATTTTGGATTGTAAGGATTGGATACGAGAGGAATTCGATGGTTTAGTGGAGCCCCAAAGCTCAATTCCGTAAGTCCAAATAGGTCTTATTATTGTCATATATACGAGTCGTTTATAAGTGATTGAAAGCTTAGATCGTTTGTCTAGTAAGAGCTGGAGTAGTCGAAAACGTTGGGCTGTTTCTAGTCGTTTCAGTCTGGTATGGGGGCTCCAAGTGAGTCGTTTGTCAAGGTGGAGTTATTTTATTTTATTTATTTATTTTTTTTTTAATTTACGCGTGTTTCCTAAGTTTCAGTTCTTCTTTCGAATAATTTCTGATCCATGAAATTTATTTCATTTAAGTAATTTATATTTTATGAACATGATCACTACATTTAGACCAAGATTAAACGACAGCATAATTTTGTCTAATGTTTTCCTACCTCCAATGTACGAATCGTAATTGTTCTCGACCTATTTTTCAATTAGGCAGCCCTTAATTCGTCAAATATTTTTCTCTTTCTCTCTCTCTCTCTCTCTCTCCTCAACCAATCCTTGAATTTCACCACCCTGACAAAGTTTATTTTTTTTATCTTTGCAACACCAGCATGCAGGTTGTACTTGAGATCTGTGACACAGAATGTTAACAAAACTACAGGCAGCCATAGGTCATATT